GGAACTGGAACCAAATAAAGCAGCCAACGGGCCTTGTGCACACTTTCATCTGCATTTATAGTACATGAAACCACGCCCAAAGTCAACTGGTATTTTAAATGCTGTTGGCTGAAGGAGTTCCCACAGAAAAATCATTATGTATATATTAATAATTTTTTACATATATGTTCCTAAAGAATTTCTGGTAATGTCATTATCTGGTTTTATTGTCAGGGTTACTTTGGTGCCCTGGTTTGTTGACACAAACCTAGACAAATGTATGAAGAAATATTAATTCTAGAAAAGGACTCCATGAGACTGGCCTGTAGGCAAGCCTGTGTGAGCATTTTCTTAGTTAGAGGTTGATGTAGATAGAAGAGTCGAGCCCATTCTGGGTTGTGTGCCTCTGAGCAAGTAGTCCTCAGGCAAAGCAAGCCAGTTATTAGCACTCTTCCATGACTTCTGCTTCAGCTCCTGCTTCCAGGTTCCTGCCCTAACTTCCCTCAGTGATGAAATGACCCTAGAGTTTAAGGTAAAATGAACCCTTCCCTCCCTGTTGCTTTTAGTTGTGGTGTTTCACCACATAAATAGAAACCCTAATAAAGACATTTGGTTTAATAAAACTATTTGGAAGTTAACTTTTTCACTTTCTTAATAACTTTTGTCAAATTGGTGCTATTTTAAGTATTTAATAGAATTGACTTTAAGAATAGGTCTGGAATTTTGTCAGGTTTTCTGTAACGAATTCAATTTCCTTAGTAAGTATACAGCCTTACTAGGTAGCTCGTAAAAAGTTCTTTGGCTGATTAATTTACTGCCTTTATTCTAGACTCTTTAACGATAACCAGAATACCCCAAAGATTTATCTCTGCTCTGTAAAGACATTGAGGGATTCTCTCAGTAGAGGGCACAGGAAGCTTTCCTGCAGTCACATGGAGGCCAGCAATGTTAATTTAAGGATATCCAGTAGAGCACTCCTCCATTCATGCATCTACTGTATGTAGTCCCTTGTGGACACTTCAATCTACTGTATTGAATTTTCCGGTACTCTCAATAACAAAAACTGGTGTCTTGAAGCTCCCCTCCACCTTCCAAAGACCTACTGAGAACCTTCGTCCAATTTCCTCTGCAGCTGCATACTTCACCTGTGGCCTGGAGAATGGTTCTCTGCTAGTCAACTAGTTTGAACCTGAGCAATCCAACAGTATTTTACCCATATTTAGACTGAGTATAGTGTCTCCTATGAGGTCTGAAGACCAGCCTTGAGAAGTGGCCTCTTTGAACTCTGCCATTAGGAACAATTTGCTGAACCAGTGTGCTATATTTTACCTTATAATTACTTCTTTAAAATAGTTTAGTGTTCAAAAAAATACATCCCATATGGTTTCTGTCTCCTGATTGGACATAATCCTACTGCCAAAACAAAAAACCTGTCTATAGGATGCATGCTGTTGTATGACTCTCCTTGCCTCAAGGGTGGACTTGACCTAGGGCCTTTGAGGACTAAAATATCACAAAAGTAGTGAGATGCCACTTCCAAAATACAGTTCTAAAACTAACTTTTCAGCTTTCTTGCTTGCTATATGGATTTTCTTGCCACCTAGATGAGCCAATCTCATCCAACTGCCCACTGTGAGATGTCCTACAGAGGCTCTTCTGGGCTCCAATGGACAGCCAGCAAAAGCCTGAGGCTTTCATTCCAACAGTTCATAAAGGAGATCCTGCCAACCATTATAGTGGTGAAGTTGGAAGCGTATCGTTCCACATCTGAGCAGTGAAATGATGGCAATGCCAACTAACTTTTGGATTGCAGTTTCTAAAGAGACTCATAGGACCCATTCAAGCCACATTCAACTTCCTGACCTACAGAATCTGAGATAGTAAGTACAGTTGTGTTACACTGCTGTTTGGATGGCAATTTATGTGAAAAATTAAAGTAATACAGGCAAATGACAATTTACTCATATATCCATTTTTGCAAGCTCAATTTTTAAAAATTTTATTTTTATGCATATGGATTTTTTTTTGCCTGCAAGTATGTTTGTATGCCATGAGGGTGTAGTGCCCATGGAGCCCAGAAGACATCAGATCCCCTGGGACTGGAGTTACAGATAGTCCTGAGTTGTCATCTGGGAGCTGGAAACCCAGGTCCTCTGGAAGAGCAGCTAGTGCTCTTAACCACTGAACCATCTCACCAGCCCTGGCAAACTGAATTTTTAAGGAATTCATCTAAGTTGACACTTCATCATCCTCTTCAGAGGTAGACAAATACTAGCTTATTTACTCAATTTTTCAGAAATAAAAATTATATCCACACAAAAGCATTTATACAAATGTTCATAGCAGCTTTATTTGTAATAGAAATTTGAAACAACTCAAATGCCTTTTAATGGATGATGGTTAAACAAACCACGGTATATCTGCACCATGGCATAATACTCCGCAATATAAAGGAACAATCTATTAATACATGCAACAACTTGAATGAAGTTCAAGGTAATTGTGCTGAAGTCAGTAAAAAAAAAAGCCAATTTCAAAAGGTTACACATGGTATAATTTCATTTATATAACATTGTCACCATGACATAATTACAGAGATGGAGAACGGATTAATGGTTGTCAGGGTTCAGAGAGTATGGTAAGAAAAATGATGTGAATATAAAGGGCAAAAGGAATGAATGAGAGGAAGCGACTGTTATCTTAGCAATGGCCTTTCCACAAACTTACACTTGAGAAAATTGCATCAGAACCATCCATATGCCTTACTTTGTGGGTGGGCATATACAGGTGAATGAATACACACGAAGCTGAGGAGGGGTAATAATGTCTATGGATTGCCTGTTAAGTCAGTTTTCTGGTTCTGATACTGTACTAACTATGCAAGATACTACCATCGGATAAACTATGTGAAGGGTACATGGTAATGTTCGTACTTCCTGTAACTTCCTATGAATCTATAACTATTACAAAATAGAGGGTTTTTTAAAAAAATACTTCTATTGACCTCCATCCTCTTGGACTTAGATATCTATTTTAAATTGCACCTTTCGTTACTTTCTATCTGATTCTCATTGAGGTTAGGTTTTGAGAAAATCCTGAAAGACCTAGTCATGAAGCTATCCCATGGGCATCTCAACTACTCTGTTAAACATGTTATTTCAATAGGGATTAACTATAAACCTCTCTAAAATTTTATTTCTTCCATGATGCTTCCTTTCCTTGCTAGGTGTGAACACATGTGACCTTAGCACTCCAAACTGAGTTCAAGGCCAAGAGGGCGACACAAGAACCTGCCCCTGTAGTAACTCAATTCCTCTGCCTGGTTCACTTCATGGCTTTTCTTCTTGCTTTTTCCTATACTCCAAAGTCACTCTGGGGCTTATACAAGACTGCATGTGACAATCATGTCTTCCTTCAGCAAAACAGAGTTTGTTATCTTTAAACAATCCCCTACTAATGTATACATGCCTAATGTACTTTTTTGCACAGCAAATCTGGTCAGTTGTTCTCCCCAACCTCAATCTTCAAGCTCATCTCTTTTCTTCCATGCCTGCATGGCCATGTAGTCTACATTTAACTTACAGTATTGACCCAGCCTCTTTGCTAGTCTATCTCCAGCTTCATCTTTTACATCACTCCCAAAGTATCCTTTCTAAAAATCTCAAATCATTCAGCTTATATAACTTCCAAGATTCTTTTATGATTTTGTTAGTAAGGTAGTCAATGCCCATCTTCCTCTTCTAGCAACGTAAACTTGGGCAAATTTTCAAAAGTATCTATTTCTTTTCTTGACTAGAAATGGTGAAAATAATCTACATTGTAACAATTATAACTCTGTCTGAAACATAGAGAACAACTGGCTGTTTTTATTATTACTAAATCCCATTCCTTTTTTTTTGTTTGTCCTGATTTTTCAAGACAGGGTTTCTCTGTGTAAAAGTCCTAGCTCTCCTAGAACTAGCTCTTTTTTTTTTTTTTTTTTTTTTGAGACAGGGTTTCTCTGTGGCTTTGGAGCCTGTCCTGGAACTAGCTCTGTAGACCAGGCTGGTCTCGAACTCACAGAGATCCGCCTGCCTCTGCCTCCTGAGTGCTGGGATTAAAGGCGTGCGCCACCATCGCCCGGCTTAGAACTAGCTCTTGTAAACCAGGCTGGCCTCAAACTCAAGGAGATTTGCTTGCCTCTGCCTCCCAAGTGCTGGGATCAAAGGTGTGCGCCACTGCCCCCTGGCTTAAATCCCATTTCTTAAACTTTCCACTTAGGTGGAAATGGATCCAACAACCATTACTGTTACCTTTTTGAGAGAAAGCAAGATGGCAGAACTCGGACTCTATTACCTTTCTGGTTATGAGATCTTGGCAAATTACATAACCTATCAAATATAAAACAAGATCACAATACAAAATAGAGGTAAAGGTCATGAAGGTAATCTGTTACAGGTACAAATGTTATGCAGGATTTAAAGTCTAGCTAGAGGTGGTCTCACAGAGACGCACCCCCTCTTGCTCAATTCAACTACAACTAGCCCCTTTGTAGCTGTCTGAGTTATTCAAATCGGTCTTTACCATTTCTACACTATAAGTTTCTAGCGAAAGGGCTCATTTCATTGACCTATAATCTTAGGGGCTTATTACACATAAGTGGGGTGAATAAATAAAAGTACTCTGAGGTCAATGATGCCATTTTTAAAAAAACTTTCTGAAGTCTACAGAATGATTTTCATAACACATGACTTTGTCCTATTTATGCATCTGTCCTATTATCTCCCAGACAGTAAACTCAGTATTATATTTTACATCACCACCCATTTAAAAAGTGCTCTATATTGAATGAAATGTCAAACATAATTAAAAAATATTTCATCTCCTTAGGTCTATTTACCTCCCAATGTATACCAACGAAACAGGTGAACATTTAAGTCCCTACTTAAGGAGTGTCTTTGCAGCTTTATTAAAGGTATTATCAAGAAAATCAGGACAACTAAAACATACCATAAACTTAACATTGACACTAAGCAAACAACTTTTAAGGTGGACAAATAATTTTATTTTGTGCATGCAAATACATGTCAAGTACTGCAAACTTTTTCCATCAATTTTCTCTCAAACACTGAAAATCATGATGCTCTAGTTTGTGAACAGCCAAAGCTAATATCTCTTCACTTCAGTGCTACAGCAAAAACACATAGAATTCACTCTTTGCTATTCACTATCATCACAACCCTCATTGTTCCATCTCTGCCCTCCCCCCATATACAGGCCTTATAAGTTCTAGCCTTCCCCCCATTTAATCCTATTCCTATAGCACAAAGGGAAACATTACAATTTGGAAATTCAAATTGAAATAAATGGAATAGAATTTATTCCCATATATATTCCCCATATTTCATTGTACAGAATTATTTTATAGTTTTAAATAGAAGCTGAGTATATGCCTTAAAAATGAGCATTAAATCCATCTTAGAGATGGTGCCTGCTTTTTACATGATGGGTGTACACCATCTTTAATTTCATTTACATTTCAATCGAACAATAGATTTGCAAAGAAAATGTCTAATACAGACGTAAAAATATTCACACTAAGCTTCACAATCGGTTGTACAATTGACAAATAGGCCTCTTTCCCCAAACTTTCCAGCTAAGCAAATTTATAAAATGTAATCAATGCAACAAGAAGAACATTTCTCTTTCACTTCCAGGGAAAAGAATATGCAATAAACAGTATAAATGCAAACGGCAGTTGTTGTAAGCTAACCACGATACTCCCAAGTGGCTGTACAGTGGGTATGTGCAGTACAAATAAAAGCCACATGTGTTGTATCACAACTACAGTATAATTGTTTGCCCAGCTAAGAGAATGCATGCACTTTCATGCTGTGGGTTATAAAGAGAGGCCTAATTCTTGACAGGTTGATGGAATATGTGCAAATGACTTTGGCTTTTGGCAGTACTAAGTGCAGCCAGTATCTATTTTCCATTGGTTTAGGGGATATTTTTTAATTTTTTATATAAGAGAAAAAAATTGCCAGTTTCATACTTGGGGGAATAACTCCCCTTAGAGTAAAAATAAGTCTCCACTCAAATGTGGGGTGTTCTGATCTGGGGTTTGACTCCTTGTACTCCCTTGCCAGCAAAGGGATACAAAGAAACAGCTCATGTAAAGGAGTTACTAGCAAACTTAATCTTTAGAAAACGGGATACTCCTTGAGCATGTTCATTTGTGTTCTGCTTGCAGAAGGTGCCCTTCTGTAGAAGAAGTTACAGTAAGTGATCCCATCAGTACTCTTGATTCACTAAAACACAAGAAAAGTTCTAAGACACTAATACAGCTGCAATGCAACTTTTCTCTTTAATGATTAATTACCAATATTGATGACAGACTGCTCATAAAATAATTTAAAGAAACAAGGGAAGAAATACTCAGATTCACAGCTGAAATCATATGCTGAATCCGATTGTTATAATGTCCAACTCTAGCTAAAAAGACAACATGGGCTGTATCACATCTAAAATTCAAAAGTAGGGCAGGTGGCTTTTAAACAATCTTTTTCAAATGGTTAAATGATCCTATTTTTCAAAAGTCCTACAAACCACTGCATTCTGTAATCTTCTGTATATAAAATCAGGATGTGCTTTGTAACTCAGCATCAACTTGAAATCTGGGTCAAAGTGACTAGGATCCATACAAAAGGGAATTTTTAGTTTTTGTATGAGAGGTTTCATTTAGTTCTTTTACTAGGGTAAAAAGTACGAAAGAAGAGAATAAGTGCCATAGGCCTAAAGAGCTACCTCTTTTTTTTTTGAATGTACAGCTGTCCCCACATCCCCACATATACTGGTTTACTGCACGGCATTAAAATAAGTCATGGTAGCATAGGTAAGAGAATATGATTTGTCTAGGTACCAACTAGAAGAAATACACATAGAACTCTTAGAATTCATAAAATGAAATGACCCCACACAAGACTAAAGATGCTATATTCACAGCATCTGAATGTGGTACACTGACTGGATTTAGAAACTGGGAAGAAAAACAAAACACAAGGAAACCAACATCATTTTTCTGCTTTTCAGACCTCAAGAGTGCTTTTTCCTGATTACATCCATAGGCAACACATGCAGTTTAGATATCAACACTACTAATTTTCTCTTCTATTGCAGCTGTAATCTCTGATGCCAAACGTATTCATCATAATGTCTTATTAAAGGGTCAAAGTGATGATTGCCCCCAATTTTAATAAGCCATGTTCTAGGTCTTTTTGTACTATTTTCCTTATGACATCATTAGGTATCATTTTGAAGAAAGGTCAGACTAACTGTCCTTTCTTCTGAAGTGGCAGAAATCCAATGGCTTTATTTCACATTAACCCACCAAAACAGACAGTAGGTTGACACTACATAAAAGATGCAATACAGAATAATGAAACAAAAACAATTCCTTTGTTGTTAGTGAGAAAGAGTAAAAATCTAAGAATAGGGAGTTACTATTTTCTGGGATCATCTACTGCAAGACAAGTATTATTTTTGACACTAAGTATTTGAGACATACCAATAAGGTTGGCAGGAACACATACTGATGCAAATGTAATTTACTGAACAAGTAGGCAAACACCTAAGCATCCCAACCCCCTCCAGCAGAGCACAACCACGCTTCAAATGTCAATTTTAAAATTAAAAAGATAAGGATAATTACACAAGATCAATTTATGTAGTATATAACCACCCTCAGAAAGTACTGAAGATGTTTGTGTAGTTCTGTTGCACAGAGGGTTCTTTCCCTGAGGGCACATAAGGAGCTCTCAACTGTTAATAGGTCTCTATTTTGTAACAAAATAGCAATTTTAAAATCTTAAAAAAAAATACATTACCTTCAACATGGAAGATCTCACTATTAAATATCCATGAAATAGACAGACTGGTTTACATAACCTTTTTGGAATTACAAAAGGAAAAAAAAGAGCATTGGAAGCATTTCAAATGTAATAAGCTCATATTCATAGAAAGGTTCTGATATAAATTATATAACAATCAAGTTCCTGTAATATCCTAGGCTAATACATAATGTCAGAAATAAGTTAATGTAACATGGTTTAAAACTCTTGTTCCTATTCATTTCAGGTTATAGAGTGAAATAAATAAAATGTCTTTGTAGGGATGGGGAGCACTGGCCATGGCAAAAGGTACAGTATTAACCAAAGGAAATTAAGTCAAGGCTACTGTGCTGTTATGCTACAAACAAACATCTCCATACACTTAAGTATTAAATAAATGTGTAAGATCTTCCATACTGACACCAGAATATCAAAACTACCCCTTTGTTTCTCAGGTATTATTTACAACTTATCAGTCACCTTATGAGCATGTTCATTAAGACAGTTATCAAACACCAGTATTTACTCATTCCAATCAAGAAATTTCAGGGAAATGTCAACCCTCCCACCCCTGGAAATGTGCACAAAACTTTTTATCAAAATCTTATCTGATACAATGCTGTGGTTTTTTTTTTTTTTGTAAAATAACTAAATAGCTCAGACGACCAATAACATGATCCTGTTTAAGCATCTTGCTAGCAGGAGAAGCCCTTACATACAGTACACCTGGTGAAAGATCAGCTTGGCTTAAAATATTCCAGTACAATTTTCAGAGTAAACAACTTCACAGAAGTTAATTAAAAAACAATAAAAGTCAAACTAATCTTAAAGAAATGGAGGAAAAACAAAACAAAACAAAAACCCAACAAACTATAGGTAATATTACCACCAGGAAGAAATGCCCAGCTTTTGTTTTCAAACGTTGACTGAAATTTAAGCTTCAATAAAATACCACTCACAAATCTGAGACATGGCTGGCTAGACAGATGCCAACTAAAAATTTCAGTCACATTATGGCAGGGCAGAAATTATTCATGTTTTTAAGTATGGATAAATGTTAGCCAATGTTCTACTACTACATGGTTCAAAGTCTTATCAACCTAACAGTCAGAAAACATGGAAAATTAAACCCAATATGAAGTAAACAATAAACAATATGTAACTAAAACAATGCAATGAACACCCAAATTAATTTAAATTAAAGACCCAGCAATACCGTCTTGTTAATCAGTGCAAACGCTACATACAGGGTTTTCTCAAGAAAGCTGAAAGCACCTGATTCTTTTGCCAAGTCATCAGATTCAATAATGTACAGGCTTAAATCTGCATTTTAAAAAATTGCCATTACATTAGTGCATAATTTATCAAAATTGTAAAAACGATTCTGCATAACTTAGGAGAATTTAATATCTAGTACATCAGCTGAAAGACTTAGGCACTTGGTTATATTTTTAGTTAATTACTTCAACAAGTAGCCTTTGTATAAATATTAACAAAGCAGAAACTATCCTTGAAAAATGGAAAATTAAAAAAATTAAACGCTACAGATAAAAAGCACTGCACCACACTTCTACATATAATGCAGTAAAGCTAGTATATAACCCTGTAAAACTCTATGGTAAGAACATCTAACTTCACTCTTCAAAAACAAAAAAGAAAAATACATGCAAAGCTCAATAAAAAAGATAAATAAAGCATCTGGAATGAGATGGATATTTCTCTCAGTGAAACATAAAATAGAAATAAATTAGTTAATTAATTAACTCTACTTTCACTAGATGTATCATTGTAGGATCCTGCTAGTTTAATAACTGAGTTGTTAATTTACTGTAGAAGCCATTTAAAATAGGAAATGGCTCAGTTACTGCACCGGATTGCTACAAACTCATAAAAAGCTGCTTGAAGCTTAAGTTAAATGTCCAAATTCCAATAATTTCTGGAAAGTGAACATTACCCTAGTAAAGTAAATTTTCTTTTTTTTTTTTCATAATGCTAATGCAAGAGGGCTTGAAGTATCAAAGAGTCCACAGGAAATGGATGCCCCCAATAATATTCTTTTTTTTTAAAAAAAATATACATTATATAATATATATTATATATATATAAAAAGCTAGTGTAAATGCTTCCAAGGTGTGGTCACAAATTTGAAAGATGAGCCTCCTTTCAGCTGTTAACCATCTTCCCATTTGCAATAGGTTTTAAAAAGTCGTTTTTATCTTCAGACATAACATGAGTTTTCAGGATGAGATTGCCAACACTGACAGATGTGGTGATGGGGAGGCAGCCTGCACTGCTAATAGACACTGGGAGTGGCTGGTTAAAGCAAGATGTTACCGGCAGAATTGTTTTTTGTTCCTCCCTATGAGAAAATAAATGATAGTGAAAGCAAATTAACTTTAAGTACACATATTTAAGAGTTACCATATATGCTCTCTAAAAGCTATTTCAAACTCTAAGAGCCCACAGAAAAAGTCTATCTTCTTTATCAAGAAAAGTATTGAATGGGGGCTGGAGCTGCTATTCCAAAGGATCTGGGTTCAATTCCTAGCACCCAAAATGGCAGCTCACAAAGGTCTATAACTCAAATCCCAGTAGACACAATGCCCACTCTGGCCTCTGCAGGCACAAGGTTGGCACATGGTGCACAGACTAAATGCAGGCAAAATACCCAGACACACAAAAATTAATAAAAATCAAAGTAATTTTTAAAATATAAGAAGTCACTAAAAAGGTCCTATTTTCCAAATTTATGATAAAAATTAAAATACCGACTAGATGACATATAAATTATCAAGCTTAAGACCATGCCTAAATCTTTGGCAGTAATTAAACAAAATGGCAATATAATAGTCAAGAAAATCCTAACATGATTTTTAAGACAAGAAACAACACTTTTTGTTTGCTCTAGTTTTTATGTTTTTTTTTTTAAAAAGATTTATGCATACAGGTGCTTGTTTTTGTGTATGGATGTGAACCACACGTGTGCACTGCCCTTGGAGGTCTCAAGATTCTCTGGAACAAGAATTACTGTTGATTGTGAGTAACCATGTGAATGCTGGGAACCAAACCTGGGGCCTCTGCAAGAGCAGCAAGTGCTCCTAACTCCTGAGCCTTTTCCAGTCCCTTATGATTTGTTTCTGAGACACGGTTTTGCTATGGATTCCATGATAGTAACATGTAAGTGGCTGATCCTGACTCTGCCTAACAGGTGCTGAAGTTACAGCTGTGTTAGTCTAGGATTTAATTTCCCAATTACAAGTCTAGCCAAACTGAAGAAGTATACTAGTGACTAGAGAACTTTCATCCCAACAAATAGTTAAGTTTTGGGTTATTAAAATAAACTACTTTACAAGTTCAAATTTCCCTAAAAATACAGACTGACCAAATCATTACTTTAATACATAAGGGTTCCTCATAATAGTAAAAAGACAAAATTAATCTAACACTACATCTACTTCTCTAAATATTTATATCCTATGTCCCCTGCTGATGAAGGATCTGTCTAACACTCACAGAGTTACACGGTCTTCACCTAAACTCTGTCTCTTCTGCTTTACTGGGTCCTTCTGCTGTTGCTGGCCAGGATGGCCATTTTCCACTGCTGTTCCATTCAGCAACTGATCATTTTGAGAACTGATGCCAAGTTGTATGTCCAAGATTTCCTAAGAAAATAAAAAGTTAATCTTTCAATATGACAGTATTTTATGCATTTTAATTTACAACAGAACAAAGTCATCTAATTATCTAATTGTGGCACTTACTTCAATTTGTTCACTTTGTCCATCAGGTTCATCAGTATCAAGTGCTGAAAGCTCTAACTCAATATCTCTATCGGGCTTCGTATCTACTGTATCTTCTGTATAATCACTCTGTAAATAAGAAAAATAATAATTTTATACCTGCAGAACCTGAGGCCTCCTTAAATTAAAATGGGAATCCTACAGATTTAGCTAAAGATCTGAAGTCTGAGAACTACTACTTCTACTCTAAGTTTAAAAAAATAATCCATCTGGAGATAGAGACAGAAACCCACACTGGAGCACTCGACTGAGCTCCCAAGGTCCAGTTGAAGAGAATGAGGGAGAAGTCAGGACCACGAGGGGTGCATCCACAGACTGAGACAGTGTGCCCCATCTAATGGGAGCTCACCAAAGCCAGCTGTACTGGGACTGAACGAGAATGTGGCTGACAATGGGGGCTGACTGAGAAGCCAATGATAATGGCACTGGGATTTGTCTCTACTGCATGTACTGGCTTTTTTGGATCCTAGTCTGTTTGAATGCATACCTTCATAGGCCTGGATGGAGGGGGGAGGGCCTTAGACTTTCCACAGGGCAGGGTACCCTGTCCTCTCTTAAGGAGGGAGGGGGAGGGAAATGGGAGGAGAGGAGGAGGGGAAGAAGTAGAAATTTTGAATGGTATTATTTATAAAGCAATAAAATTTTTTTTTTTTTAATATTTATTTATTTATTATGTATACAATATTCTGTCTATGTGTATGCCTGCAGGCCAGAAGAGGGCACCAGACCCCATTACAGATGGTTGTGAGCCACCATGTGGTTGCTGGGAATTGAACTCAGGACCTTTGGAAGAGCAGGCAATGCTCTTAACCACTGAGCCATCTCTCCAGCCCGCAATAAAATTTTTTTAAAAATGTGCATATAAATAAAAAATTTCAGGCTGGAGAGATGGCATATCCAAATATATTTCTAAATATATAAAAAAAGTAATCCAGGGGGCTGGAGAGATGGCTCGGAGGTTGGGAGCGTTGCCTGCTCTTCCAGGGGTCCTGGGTTCGATTCCCAGCAACCACATGGTGGCTCACAGCCATCTGTAATGAGGTCTGGTGCCCTCTTCTGGCCTGCACCACAGACAGAATATTGTATACATAATAAATAAATAAATAAAATAAATAAATAAATAAATATAAAAAAAAAAGTAATCCATCATACCTTTGAAAAATTCACTAAAAAATAGTAAGTACATCTCAATACAGTTACAGAAAGCAAATACATTAATATGAAGCCAAGATATTCAGTTTTCTTACCTCTCCATTTCTCAGTTCAATTTCCTTGCTTAGAAGATTTAAAGTAAGATGTCGGCCTTCATCCAGGGAATTCCACTTCTGTTGCATGGCCAGAGCATTAGCTTCCCTCTGAAGAAGTAATGAGTTACTCTTGGCCTCCATGAAGAGAGAGAAAAACATAAACTTAGCTTTCAATTATTATTTACTTTTTAAAAATCAAAGCTAAATAGAGCCTACCTGCTGAAGTTCAATGCTCAAAAGGTCTCCAGTACTGGAATGCTTTCTATGACCAGATAAATCAGTAACAATGAATCTGTCCCTTTAAAAAGAAATATGTTTATTGTAGTAAAAGCGAGATATAAAGCAACTAAAGCATTAATGACTATATGTTCTTTTTAACTATCAACACTGAATATGTTTTAGTCATCATTCAAATAGCTGTGTATCTACTGTGGCTTATTACATGGAAAACTAGTAGTGATACACACACACGCACACGTATATATATGTGGATGTAAATTTATTTTTTTCTTCAAGACAGGATTTCTCTGTGAAACAGTCCTGCCTGTTCTGAAACTCGCTCTGTAGACCTGTAGCGGCCACAAACTCACAGAGATCTATCTGCCTCTGTCTTCTGAGTGCTGGGATTAAAGGCATGTGCCAACATCGCTCGGCTGGTTTCTATATTTTAAGATGCATGTAGTTTGAAAGTAAAGCATCATAAGGAAATGAGAGCAAAGTTACCGATCAATATAGTGTGCTGATGATGTGGCCTCATTTCCATATGAACTCCACCTTGAATCAACAGCATTGACATAAGGGACATAATCTGTAGGAAACAAAAAGAAACAATTATTAGAAAGCAGAAAATAAGCCAGACAAGGTGGTGCACATCTGCAATACCAGCACTCAGGAGACTGAGGCAGGAAGACTGCCACAAGTTTGAGGCCAGCTTGGATACAGAGTGAAACCATGTCTCAAAAATAAATAAATAAAAAGACAAAGAAAAATTTAAAAATCAGTATGTAAGTACAAATATACTTTCTAAATGGCTGTGTATTTTTTCCTACTAGCCAAAGGATTTGTTTAAAACACTTCATGTTTAAAACACTTCATTCTCAGTTTTAGATGGTTAGATGAAATGTTTTCTATCTCACAGGTTAGAAATAAAAGCACATGGTATAAATTCTTTGGTATTACTAAAATAGATCACCTGATACACTGATGGGCTTAGTAGTACTTCCTTGGGAAGCAGTTGCCTGGATGGGATCTGTTGTATGGTAACCTGTTCGGGAGGATCGGGAAATTGCACCCCATTTTGAGATAATGGGTCCATCACTAAAGGGAATAATTGGGTCTTCTTCTTTTGTCCTTCTCTGAGTTTCAAATAAATGAACTCTTCTCTTAACATCCCCACTGTCCAGGTCCTGCACAAATCAAAGAATATCAATCAAAGGTCATTACTGTAGCTAAAGATAAAGTATGTTCTTAGAAGACAAATAATTAGGTTTTTCTGGTCAAATTTATACTAACTGTGGATCTAAATGGTATGTAGCAATCATATTAGACTACTAAGTTATGGTTAATTGAAACATTCCATGAAATTTGTTTTGTTAAAATATTATCCTGCTATTTACACATAAGTTATACAGTCAGAATATAAAAAACTAAAGTCTTCATTTTAAAACTTGAAACATTAGCATTATCTTCCCTACCTCCAAAACCCCCTTTTACCCAGTCAAGCAAAATCATACCATTAGCACAGCATTTGAATTAGCGATTACGTCTTTGGGCTCTGAATCAATGGCATTTATACAAGAGCCTATGGTGCCACAAGACCAGGGAGAATAATGGGAAAGATGGTCTTCCTCAAATTTTGTGCCACTCACATTCTCAGAGAACTGATTAAAAAAGAAGGGGGGAAAAGGCAAATTAGTATGAGACCTAACTTTACAAGTTTGTAACTAATACTGAATAACTATTATACAATTAAAGGATCATACAGTTAATAACTGAACTCTTTCCAGAACTTATGTAACAGCTGGGCATGCTGCTTCACTTCCATAATAACTATAATATGGTGACCTGAGGAAGAACTGCATGGAGTTCAAGGTGAACATGAGCTATATTGGGTTCCACATCAGCCTGGTTGTGTGGAACAGAACCTTCTCTCAAAAGAAATAAAGCAAACAAATAATAAATAAATCAGCTCTAAGCAATAATATTTATATAACAGAAAATAGCACACTTTCTTTTCCTTTGTCTTGTAAATTATTTATTCTATACATTCTTTCATATTTGTCCTATTAAGTGATTTTTAAAAAAAATTTTAAAAACACATTCAAATTTCATTTTAATTATCTATTTATTTAGTGCTTATGTACGCAGGTGCCATGAGGTGTGAGAAGCCAGAAGACAACTTGGAGTTGGTTCTCTTCCTCCACGATGGGGGGGTCCCAGGAATCAGACTAAGGGTACCAGGTTCTACAGCAAGTAGTACAGCAAGCTACTAAAAGCTTACTAAAGCTTACTGCTTCAGTCCTTTAAGTGTTCTTACAAAACTCCTGACCAATAATATCAAAATCAATTAATAATAACACACTAAAATGGTATGTGATGTTAGCAAAAAAAAAAAAAGAGGAAAAATAAACACAGATCACGGTCCATGTCTTAAAGCAGTCTATAATTCTCTTGAGGAAAAAAGATCATGTAGCAAATAAAGGAACATCATAAGTTATGCAACGTTAACTAACAAAAGGAATTCAAAGGCAGCTCTGAAGCTAGAAAAGGGAAAGAACAGACGTGAAAGGAAGTGTAATATACTATAACAATACTGCCAGGACACCAAAGTTTTAACAATACTTGAGGGCTCGAGAGATGGCTCAGAGGTTAAGAGCACTGACTGCTCTTCCAGATCCTGAGTTCAATTCCCAGCAACCACATGGTGGCTCACAGCCATCTATAATGAGATCTGGTGCCCTCTTCTGGCATGCAGGCCTACATGCAGACAAAACATTGTACACATACTAAATAAACAAATCTTTTAAAAAAATCTACTTGAATAATTATAGAGACCGAGAAACTGAGGAACAGAAAAGTTAAACATGAGTAATGCTATTTGCCAATACCTGATCTGAATCACAAAGAAATACTTATTTCTTAAAGTATATTGTAAAAAAAAGTGAAACTATGGGCCAGACAGTGTTGACACACGCCTTTAATCCCAGCACTCAGGAGGCAGAGGCAATTGGATCTCCAAATCTGAGGCACTAGTTCCAGGACAACTAGGGCAACACAGAGAAACCCCATCTCTGAAAAACAAGAAAAAGAAGAAGAAAAAAGGAAAATCATTCTATAATATTGACATCTTTAACATCATTGCCAAAGCTGTTTACTTATTTTGATGCAGTCTCAGTTTAGTGAGATGAATATGAATAGGTTAAAAAGTAGCATTTTATGAAATATTCCTGAATAGAAATATTTAACTAATTTGGGTGTTATAGCTCACATTTGCAGATCCAGCACTAGGGAGGCTGATTCAGGGGAATTGCTGAATCCTGGGTTACCTAGTGAAACAGTGTCTCAACAATCAAATCAGGGAATGGAGAAATGGCCCAGCAGAATATTTGCTCCTATTCCAGAGTACATGAGTTTGGTTCCCAGCACCCACACTGATCAGTTAATAACATCCTTTAACTCCTGTTTCAGAAAATCCAATGCCCTCTTGCCTCTATGGGCATCTATTCAGGTGGTATAAACTCAGACAGACAGACAAACACACACACAGATTTTAAAAAGTAAATTAAAAAAATAAAAAAGACAAAACTCAACAAATTTAATTAAAAATGAATGTGTATGTATAGCTAGGACTATGCCAAAATAATCCAATGGTAAGAAGCACAAATGAAATAAACTTGGCCAAGTTGACAATTTTGGAAGTGATATAATTATACGTAATTATTATGAGTCTTTTTTTTGTATGTCTGAAACTTTTCATAAGAAAAAGATATAAAAGCTGTTTTTGTTTGTTTGTACCAGAAACCTGAGGAAAATAAATAAATAAAAGAGTATGCAAAGAAATTTTCTCATCGGGCAGTGATAGCACACATTTATAATCCAGCACTTGAAAGGCAGAAGCAGGCAGATCTGTGAGTCTGAGGTCAGTCTGGTCTACAGAGCAAGTTCTAAGACAGCCAGAGAAGTTACACAGAGAGACCCTATTTCGAAAAACAAAAAGAATTTTTTCTCTAATATACTATATTTAGAGAAATAACACACACACACACACACAAAACATACAATAAAAAAAGCAGATAGAATAGAAATCATTCTGTCATAGACTTGTTTTGTAATAACTAACAAGAATAATTAACAGGGATACAAACAGGAGAAATAATACAGCAGGCCATTTCTGTACTTCCTGTGAAACAGAAAAAAACCAGGATTCAAACTCTAAGCTATGTATAAACTGAAAGATCTTGGACAAATTATTTAAGTTCCCTGGGCTATAACCTATACAATACAGATAATACATGCCCTCTAAGGTTTTCATGAGAATTAAATAAAACAGCATTTTTTAAGTAGTTACTAGGTAAATGGTAGATATATTTCTATTCTGAATCTTACACCAATCAGGAATTAGCATAAAGTTCAGTGGTAGAGGATGTACAAGGTTTGGACCTAGCCCAAAACTAAAAAAGTCAAGAAACATAACACATAACAATAAAAAGATAAAGTATTAAGTCTACTACTACAATAATCTTGAAATCCTGGTAAAGGAGCCTTATGTTGAGAATCTCCTCCCCTAGCCATAGTTTACACGCTGCTTACTGAGCTAATTTTTTTTTTTTGGTTTTTCGAGACAGGGTTTCTCTGTGGCTTTTGGAGTCTGTCCTGGAACTAGCTCTTGTAGACCAGGCTGGCCTTGAACTCACAGAGATCCGCCTGCCTCTGCCTCCTGAGTGCTGGGATTAAAGGCGTGCACCACCACCACCCGGTGGTTTGACTTCATACAAAACCATTCCAAAATATACAAATCAGTTAACCATAGTTTAAAGTCATCTGTTTGAACATCAGTGATTACTAAGTGGTTAAAACCTTTCTTACATCTGTTCGGAAGTCTACACTGAATAGAGGAGAAGGTGGTGTTGGTGACTGTGTTGCCACAGGAAGAGTTGAAGAGACAGGTGCTTTCTGGGTATGGTACTGTGCCCACTGATCTGGCTTTCTTCTTATCTGTTCCTCACAACTGGTCTTCAAATGACTACAAGGCTCCTAAGAAGGATAAAAGAAAAAAAAATCTTGGTCACCTGTAGAGTGGTAAATAAACTATGTTCTGTGAGAATAAAGTAAAAAGTTTCTATTATTGGGATGTACACATGTACAAAAAGAACAGAGAAACTGCCTTAGAACCCTAGTGTTCTCTCCACATACTCAAACGGTTCAGCTGATGTCAAGGAAAATGTGAACACTCATTTTTCTACTTTAGAAGTCATTTGTATATATGTGAAGCTACTGAAAAGAGGCCTTGTCCTTCTATCTTCAGGACTGTTTTTAAACTTATGCATCCGATCCTAACTGAACATAACACTTTTTTTCTCCTTTTTTTTGTCTTTGTTTTGTTTGTTTTTTCGAGACAGGGTTTCTCTGTGAAATAGCCCTGCTGTCCTAGAACTCACTTTGTAGACCAGGGTGGCCTTGAACTCACAAAAATCCGCCTGTATCTACCCCCAAATGCTGGATTAAAGGCGTGATCCACCACCACCTGGCAACATAACACTTTTTTGAATACTATCAAGTCTAGTTCTAAGAGTTTTGATTCTTTTTAAACTAGTTCTCACAACAGTCTTGTAAGTAGGTACTACTCTTACTTCCATCAAACATGAAAAAACACAAAACGAACAACAACAAAAAGCCAAGCCATACAAAGGTCAAACAACTTCTCTAAATCACAGTTAATGAGAATCTATCTGGTTTAACTTAAGACACAAGATCTCAACTAACACACAACAGTAATATTTTTATGTTCAACATCATTTACCCTTGGTAAAGGCACAGTCGTCCTTGGCTCATTTGGTGGCTGACAAGCCACTGAATAATATCCATCTAATGAATTATATCTTTCCCGTAAAGATGTCTGATAGACAGATGAGTGCATCACATCCATTGGAGGTAAAGAATTGCTTCTAATAATGTCATCTCGTTGGTACATAGCTGGGCGCCAGATGCGCCTGCTGTCATACACAGGAGCATACATTCCAGAAGGTACTGGAGGAACTGGTCCGTACTGCTGCGGAGGAGGAGGCTGGTAAGGAGAAGAATTCATTCGGTCTCGAGGGGAAAATGTACTGTAATGATCAGCATATGGCATGGAAGCAGGTGGGAGGGAGGACTCTGGAACATTACTGGACCTCACAAAGCGAGGAACACAAGGAGTCACACCAGCTGGTACCGTTGGAGGTGGTGGGTAGTATCCTTGAAAATTGGAAAGAGGAACATTCAATGTAACATCTTAGTAAAAAGAACATTTTATAATGTTTCAAGTCTAAAGCTGCCCTGATTGTGGGAAAATATAATCAGCATTGACCTTTACCTTCATATAGAAACTGAATTATTGTCAAGATATCATTATAGTAATATCAACATTCAACAATGTTAAAACTACACGGAGCTTTTGCCAGATAGCAGACTGATTCTTTAATGAATCTCCCTCCCTCCCTCCCTCCCTCCCTCTCTCTTTCTTTCTTTCTTTATTTCATCTTTTTAGGTTTTAAAAGAGGATTTCTCTGTACCCTGGCTGTTCTGGAACTTTTGCCAGATAGCAGACTGATTCCTGTTTAATGAATCAATTTTCTTCCTTCCCTCCTTAAAACTAATCTTTCGCTTCCCTTCCCTTCCCTTCCCTCCCCTCCCTCCCCTTCTTCCCTTCCTTTCTTCCCTTCCCTCCCCTCCCCTCCCCTTCCCTTCCCTTCTTTGTTCTTTTTAGGTTTTAAAAGACGGGATTTCTCTGTACCCTGGCTGTTCTGGAACTTGCTTTGTAGAACAGGCTAGCCTCAAACTCACTGAGCTCCTTTTGTCTGCCTCCCCAGTGCTGGGATTAAAGATGTGCAACACCACGGCCTGTTAAATGAATCTTTTCCATGAGGTTTCTAAATAAGTAATTAGTTATATCACTGGCTCTTATTAAGCATCTGGGTGCAGAGGTTAAAGATCTCTCCCTTCCTTCCTTCCTCTCTCCCTCCTTCCCTTCCTTCCTTCCTTTCTTTTTTTTGAGACTGGCTGCCCTAGAACTGGAACTCACCCTAGACTAGGTTGGCCTCAAACTCACAGAGATCCGCCTGCTTCTACCTTCCCAGTGCTGGGATTAAAGGCGTAAACTACTTCCACCTTAATGATCTCTTTCAGAATTTGTTATTCATTTTCTTTTCAAATTGTATAAAAAATAGATGTGATGGCACTCTCCTTTTATCCCAGCATTTGTGAGGCAGAAGCAGGTGGATCTCTGAATTTGAGGCCAGCTTGGTCTAAGAGTTTCAGACCAGCCTGGGCTACATATACTGCGATCCTGCCTCGAAAATAAATAAAAATTGAAAAGTAGGGTTGCAGAGATGGCTCAGTGAATAAAAGCACTTGCTGTTCTTGCAGAGTACCTGGGTTCAGCTTCCAGCAACCACAAAGCAGTTCACAACCATTAGTAACCCCAGTTCCATGTCCATGCGGACACTCATATACATAAGAGGAAAGTTGTTTTCTTTTAATGAAGCACAAAAACATTACATTTTATATACCATTTCATTGAGGTCATTTTTACAAAAGACCTAGTATCTACGTAGAAAAGAATAAAACAGACTCTTTAACTAGTTATAAAAATTAATTCTGTAGAGAGTAAAGATTTCTATATATTACCTGGAACTATAAACCTTTTAGAAGAAATCATGAGAAATGCTTCAAGGTACTAGAACAAGCAAGATTTTTTTTTTTTTGGAAAAGACCCCAAAAGTAAAAATGACAAAACATGAAAGTGGAACTTTCTATCAAATAATAAAACTTCTCATAGGCTAAAAAAAAAATCAGACTGTAAAAGCAACCTACAGAATGGGAAACAATATTTACAAGCTATATATATGTCAAATACAATAAAAAAAACAAAGCAACTTGATAAATATAAACAGTATATCTAAATAAACATTTGCTAAAAGAAGATATCCAAATGGTCAACTAGCAAAATACAAATGTTTAACACCAGTAATATTTTGGAATATACAAAAAAAAAAGAAATATCATCTCACTCCAGTATGAATGGCTATTATTTAAGAAAAGAAAAGAACAAGAAAAAAAAAAAGAAAGCCAGGACAGCAATTAAGAGCATGTAGACCAAAGTTCAGCATGAGTTCACCTCCCAAACCTACATGATGGAAATAGAGAACTGACTCTTGACTACCATATGTGCACTGCTGCACCAATGTTTCCTTTTTATCACACTACCCCACACATACACAGAAAAGACCAAAGATACCAAGTATCGACAAGGATACATAACAATACAAATACCTATATTAGTGGGAATGTAGAAAACATATGCACCTAGGTATATGAATGGAGCAAATGTTAGTGCAATTGTAATGCAAATGAAAATGAATAACAGCCTTTGCTGGTTGGTTTGTCTATTTTGAAACAGGGTCCCCTGTAGTACCAGTTGACCTTGAACTCACTGTGTAGCTAAGGCTGCCTTGACTTCTGATTCTCCTTGACACTGTCTACCAAATGACAGAATTACTAACTAGAAGCAAAGATTTCCTAGGGCAGAAGAAAATTTATGGGTCATGGAGTAGTATTAATCTATTAATTTAGATGGCCTAGACACTCATTTATTTAGAATAATAAATACTTATATTGGCTTCTTTGTTCTTAGAATCGACTAAAATTACTTACCTGTTTGTGGGTATTGTGGGACTTCAAAGGGTATCTGAGTCCTTGGGTCCTGAAAATACTGAATGCTTTCAGAATGCTGAGGATATACTGGAACTCTAGTTAGAAATGGGCTGGATTTGGGAGGCACAGAGCTTAACTCTGTTCCAAAATTAGAGGGCCCAGTGGAGGTAGCTGCTGCATTACTTACAGGAGTCTTCGGAGGAGAACCAATTTTACTAGAGAGAGAATTGAACAGAGAGGAAAGGATAACTATGATCACTAATTTTCCTCAGAAAAATGGCTCATAAAATTTTAAGGCAAAATTATCAACAGAAAACATGTTAGGTATTTTGACAGGGGCAAATATATTTGGCAAGAAATTTCACTGCCTCCTCAAACTGTAATTCACAAGCCCATATAGTTTAACAGTTCTCATGTTCTGAGGAGGCTAACAGGATATAAAAACAAACTCCAGGCACTAAAGTGGCTTTTCACCTGACTTTGATTCACTCTTTAAAGATTTTTTCCTATTGGAAAAAACAAAAAAACAAATCCTGCTCAGTAAGTTTAAAAAATAAACAATAAAAAGTCTATTAGTAGAAGTCTTTGGGGTAAAGAAGATAGAAACAGTAAAAACAATTTGATTAGCTAAAATGTAATCTGAGAAAAGTCCATTTTTGTCTATTTTGTTAACTCTATATATGTGACATCTAGAAAATAGCTCCTGGCTTGGAGCAGGCACTCAATAAACATTTGCTTGAAAAATAAAATATATCCTAGCACAAAGTGAGTACTTAATATTTGTTGGGTGATATGATGCCAATTAATTTTTTGCTTTAATTTAAAAGGAATTTCTTGGTTGTATAAGCAAGTAATTAGCCCCAATGAACATTATCATAACATTTTTTTTTAAAACTTTTTTATCATAACATTCTTGTTCCCTTTCAAAAGCTTTAAAAACGCTGCAGGCGGGGCTGGAGAGGTGGCTCAGTGGTTAAGAGCATTGCCTGCTCTTCCAAAGGTCCTGAGTTCAATTCCCAGCAACCACATGGTGGCTCACAACCATCTGTAATGAGGTCTGGTGCCCTCTTCTGGCCTGCAGACATACACACAGACAGAACATTGTATACATAATAAATAAATAAATATTTAAAAAAAAAAAAAAAAAACGCTGCAGGCAACAGTGCAACAACTTGAATCCCAGTGCTTGGGATGCAGAGGCAGGTGGAGGCCTGGGTTTGAGTTCCAGGACAGCCAAGGGCACACACAAAGAAAAGCCCTGTTACTCCCCCCTCCCCCCCAAAAAAAAATGAAAGAAGAAAAAAAAGAAAAGAAAAAAAAAAGCTCTAAAATCCCTACAAAGAGCTTTAAATATGTAGGAATTCAATGGATTACAACCCAATCACATTAAGAAGATTTTTTTCCAGCCAGGCAGTGGTGGCAAATGACTTTAATTCCAACATTCAAGAGGCTTTGCACACACCTCTCCCAGAAGAATTAAGCACACATATTCCTGTGTTTCAATAATACAAAACCATTCAAAGTGTATCACATAGAAATGTTTATATATCTAACACCCAAACTACACTAGAAGACTCTTAGAGGATGGGGTTTATCTGACTCATTTTCATAAGGACATCAGCTGGTCTCATGTTTGGCATGTATTAGGCAATCCATATATTTAAATGAATAAGTAGTTTAATTACATCTTAAATTTTTTACTGTGTCTTATTTACTCATGTGTGCATGTGTACACACATGGAGAAGAACAGACTGTAGTACATTCTCTCCTTACAACACTGTAGGTCCTGGGATTGAATGCCAGTTGTCAGGCTTGGTAGCAGGTACATTTCCCTTGTAATCATCTTGCTATACATCTTACAAATACATTTCCTTTTATACCTAATCGCTTATTTTGTGTGCTTGTGTATATTCATTGGCATGTACCTGCCAAACAATACATATGAAGAACAGGATGGTAACTTTTGGGAGCCCCTCTCTTCTTCCACCATATGGTATCAGTCACCAAATGGCATCAGTGGACTGAACTTAGGCAGCAAGAACCTTTATTAACACACTGAATTACTTCACCAGCTCTGTCCATTTCTTAAGTGGTAGAGCAGGTGCCTAAAATATAGAAAGACTCAAGCTTGAATCCCAGACCAAAGGAAAAAAAGAAAGTTAAGAACTCAAACTGTAACTCATGGTTTTAAGGTATGTATGTATCACTTGTATCAATAAATCAAGATTTATACCAATACTGGCTTTTGACATAAGATTTCCAACTATCTAAATAGAAGTCTGCACCCATTAACATCCACTCCCTACGTCCATCCTTAACCCCAGCAGTGACTACTGATTGTCTTTCTTTCACTACAGAGTTGCCTTTTTTTGGACAATTCTATTAAACTGAATTGCAAATTCTTTCAAGTCACCATAATTTTTTTTTTCTCTTTTGGAAGTGGGTATTAAAAGTGGGGCCTTGTGCATGTTGGCATACATGCTGATGACTAACCTATATATCTGAGGAGGGGGTTTGACAAGGTCTTACTAATTTATTCAAGCTGGCCTTAAATTTCCTCTGTATCCGAGGCTGGTCTTGATCTTGGGATACTAATAACTCAATCTACTAAGTCTTTAAGACTATAGACCTGCACCACCAGGCCTACTGCAGCATATTTCCAAGGCTGATAACATGTGACACATAGTGATTTTTCATGGCAGAATAACATGTTACCTTACCAAAATCTTCAGCATTCTATCTTCTAAACATGTAGCATAACGTTTTTATAGCCTCATAACAGTAGGCTTGTGTAACCTTATTTTAAGTATCCGTCAGTTAACATAAACCTTCAAATACATAAATGAGTATCTGGTGCTAGGGATCAAATCTAGAGCATTGTACATGCAAGCAAGCACTCTACCACTGAGCTATAACTCCAGCACAAACTTTCAGTTCTTTAAGGCTAGCCCTAATACTTCACATATTTACCAATAAAGTTACATCATATTGTTCCCCCACTACATCAGAACATGGAATACTCCTGTCCTTTAATATGCTTCATTTGTGTAAATACTACTCCACATTTAGAGCACCGAGTTCTTCATTTGTGTAAATACTACATCCACATTTATAGCACCGAGTCCTTCAAAAGCAAAGAAGTCTATTCTTCAGGTCTTTAGTTTTTGTCACAATGCCAGTAACAAAGCTTAAAATAAAGTAGTCAATATTTTTGATCTGTCTTTTCTCAAATACATCCCAGTAAAGATCATTCTTTTAATAAAGAATTTCCCCATTACATACTGAACTATACAAGTTGAATATATATTTAACTTATACAGTTTCCATGACATCAAGTCAGTAAAAGTTTTCTATGTGCAAAGCATGATGCTTTTTTTCCCTCAGCAGACACATCCTCGTACTGACAAAGTTACTCAAGAGCAATGAAATCTGAAAATGCTTTAACTGCAATGAGATTCCAAAACTGGAAGTATCTTCTAATTACCTCAAAGTTTCAATACTTTTAATATTCATAAGATTAAAAAAAATCCTTTTATAAAATGAAATCTTACATTGATATCAACAATAATGGTAGTAAAAACAAAGCAGATATTTACTGAGTCCATTTACTAATGGACAAGTAATGTTCAAAATACAATACAGCATTAAGTCATTTAAGTTTCACAATCAATAGATTAAGTACTTGACCACTGATTTGCATACCTATCCCATGAAGAAGTTTTGTAATTTGAGGTAGACTGATAAAACAACTCACTTAACATCCAATAGTAAGAAAAAGTGAGTCATAATTTGAGTCTAAAGAGCTTGGCCCCCAAGAGTCTGCCCTTAAATATATTACAGAGAATGTAGTGGAAGCTGACTGGAACAGCTAGAAATTCAACCTTCTCACCCACTTAGGTTTCTACTTAGATTTCTATGAAATTAATACTGAAACTCAAGAAAAAAAAGGTATGGAAATCCTAATTCTGGTCCAAACTCAAGAGTTAAAGTGACTTTCCAAGTTTGCAGAGTTATTCAGTTGCCTTGTGAGGATTAGAACTCAAATTTCTGCTGCATGCTGGCACACGCTTTTAATCCCAGCACTCAGGAGGCAGAGGCAAGTAGATCATTATGAGTTTGAGGTCAGCCTGGTTTACAGAGTGTGTTCCAGGACAGCAAGAGCTGCACAGAGAAATTCTGTTTTAAAAAAATCCAATGGTCCATGGCATAGAGATGAAGAGAAGGGAGCAGACTGCAACTATTTGGTGACCAGATGTGATGATATATTGTATGTGGAACATGAAAGCAATTCACCCAGCATACTGTCAAGATCAAGGCTCTGGCCTGGAGAAACTAGGATGTGAGTTACATTGCCAGCTGCTAGAATGGGAAGCCAGGGAAGGACAGATTTGAAACAAGCCTTTGGAGTTGTTTGTTTGTTTTCAGAACTGCTAAACTTAAGAAACCTATCAGAGTCACAAGTAGAGCTGTGCATGCCTGCAACCCCAGTACTCAGAAGGCTGAAGCAGGAGAATCATGAGGTTTTCTGCTTATTTTTATTGTTTTACTTGCTGGAAGTTGAAGCCTACACTGTACGCATGATAGGCAAGTGCTCTACCACTGAGCTTATATCCCTAGCCCAGGAGCTTGAGTTTAAGACCAACCTGGGCTAAAAACCAAACAAACAAAAAATGAGATTCAAGTGGACTTTTGTAGCAAGATGGTGAAATATTTGGGTAAAAAAAAAAAAATCCAATGGGGAAGAAAAACCTTCAAATTTCTTTGTATTTAGTTTATTACATGAATAACTGCATAGAATTTCAACTAATTATTGTACCTCAGGATGAAAAAAAATGAGGTCATTTCTAAAAAGGAGACATAAACCCATCATTTTCATCCAATACCTACTTTTCAGATCCAGACTCTGCAGAGGGCCCAGCAGGGTTCTGTCCATTAGTGCCAACTTTCCCGACTTTCTTCACAGTCTCCAGAGTTCTAAGCGCACTGTCAGTGCTTCTTGGGATTAGCTGGGAAACACTGTTTTCTGCATTTGAAATTCCATTTGTACTTGAAACAATTTTCCCAGATGTTTCAGTACTTCCTATGACCGAAATGCCATTTCCGGCTGTGGTTGTAACAGTGCTGTTTATACCAACTTTATTCAGAAGAGGGAATGTTCTTACAGTTGCACTCATCTTTTTGTTCCTCAATCGGTACCTGTTTAAAAATTATCAACATATTTGTAATACTGTTCCCAATTTTAATCTCAAAAGTACAAAAGAAAATATTTCTTAAAAAGGAAAAAGCTTTGAAGAGTTTCTTCAGCTAAATAACAAATACTCTACAAGCCACATATGCATGTAACACACATGCATACACACACATATATAATTAATATAGCAAGCAAAGTACACAAACATTTGAAGCTTTATGAAGGAGTGGAGTTTGAAAATCATCTATTTTTTTTTTTTTTTTTTTGGTTTTTCGAGACAGGGTTTCTCTGTGGCTTTGGAGCTCGTCCTGGAACTAGCTCTGTAGACCAGGCTGGTCTCGAACTCACAGAGATCCGCCTGCCTCTGCCTCCCGAGTGCTGGGATTAAAGGCGTGCGCCACCATCGCCCGGCTGAAAATCATCTATTTTTATGTGGTATCAAAAAAGCACCAAATTCTGAAAGTAACAGAAGAGGAAAATATTCAAGAATTGAATGCATTCTCTGCTGTTATTAAATTATATAAGCAGAGTGTAATTATAAAGAAATAATAAAAACTCAAACTCATTTTTAAACTTTACACCAAAACATAGAAATTTTATATTATTCCTAAATGAGTTTATGTCCAAAGAAAAAGAGTATTTAGATCACAGATTTTTCTGATATTTATTTATGAAGACTGGATATAATGTTGTAATACACAACAATATGATCTTGTAGTTCATATAAAAATACTTATAGCTGGGCAGTGGTGTACACACCTTTAATCCCAGCACTCGGAAGGCAGAGACAGGAGGATCTCCTTGATTTTGAGGTCAGCCTGGTCTACAAAGTGAGTGCCAAGACAGGCTCCAAAGCTACAGAGAAACCCTATCTTGAAAAAAAAAAACTAAAGAAAAAAATTTCTATTTGTATATTTCATTCTGGGACTAGAAAGATGGCTTGCGGGTTAAAGATCACTGGCTGCTTTTTCAAAGTACCTAGGTTTAGTTCTCAGGACCCAATGGCAGCTGGCAACTGTAACTCCAGTTCCTGGAGATCTAAGGCCCTCTTCTGGCCTGTGCAGATACTGTATTCATGTGGTACACAGCATACATGCAAACAAACACCTTAATACCTAAAATCATTATTTAATTTTTTTTTAAATTCTCATTATTACACTGTCTTAGTCCTGGTCCTTAATTCCTATATTATATATATAATTAGAAGAAAACAAAATCAATAAAGGATGAGTGCCCAGAGATAAGACTAGATAATGAAGGAATAGAATAAAACAGCAAAAACAAAAAGCAGAGAGTCAACAACCCTTATAGTGAGTGACTAATTCACATACCATTATAGACACAGGGGTTGGTGGCCCAAGAACTGTTTCTTAAGGAAGAAGAGGAGAATGAGCAGACTTATACTACAGAAAGCAAACTGTTACCATCAAGAGGTAAGGAACTCCTGTTTTCTTCAGTATGTTCTCTCAAATGTCTTCATTCTATTCTTCAAAGTTCTTAAAGAAAATGGCCAGTTACTCCTTGCTTTCCAACTTCAAAAGTCAAGTACATATCCTCTATCTTTAAAATTTATATCTGTCTGAGTGTATTGCATGCACAAGTATGTGCGCTCATGTCTCAGCTAGGATGTTAGGCAGCAGGCCTGAGCCATACTCTATCACTTCCAACCCTCCTTGAAGCTGGGGTACAGGCAATTGTGGGGAGACCTAGCTTGTTACACTGGTACTGAGATCCAAACACAGGTCCTCATGATTATGGAATGAGTGCTTTTAACCAATAATCCATTTTTCCAGCCCTGTAAGTCCACATTCTTAAGATTGTTCAAATAAGCAATAAAATTTTGTTTCCCTCTAAAAAGAGGGAAAAGTAAAACTATAATAAAATGTGTCGAATCAGTGAAGAGAAGGTGTATGCACTGGTCTCCTGGTTACTAAAGCCACGGACTTACAAACTAACTCTCACATTTGAAACAGGCAATTCTTTTTAAGCCACTCATGAGCACCTTCAAGTACTGCCTCTCTCATTTTACACTCTACTACCAGACACTACCAGACACTACCACCTCCCTTTTAAGTACCTTTGACTCTCTAGCCATAGTATAGGAAATGGTCCCCCTTACAAAATTTATCTGACAAAATTCAGTTCAATTACTCTGTAATTATTCACAAACAACTAGCTAAATGTGTGTGTGTGTGGGGGGGGGGGGTTAAAATCACACTGTAAAGACCTTCAGAATTTGAATATTTAAAGTCACTAAGCAATTCACTGATGTATATCTTTCCTAACTTTACTGTCTCATCTTTAACATTCTGTTTCTTTCCACAGCTCCCCCAAACTGACAATACCGCATCCTTGTTAATAGAGAAAATATGACATAAAAGAACTAATACTAATTCCACTAGCTTCCTGTACCTATAACAGTATATTCTTTAAAAGACAAAGAGCAGAGTTCCAGTTCCTGAAGTGAATTTACTTGTGCTCGATGCCTCAAGCCTATCTGCTCTCTCAAAGACTTCATTCCTCTAAGTATTTTTTATTTCTCTTTTGTACTGTAACTGTTTAAATGTCATATTCTCTGATAACTGAGGTCTGCATGCATACAAATACAGGGACCTGGACCCTCACAAACATACAAATATGCACATAAACATAATAATTACATACACACAAGTCTCAGTGAGGCAGCAACATATAATTTTAAAAACACAATCTGATACAATTAAGAGATTTTTTTTCTAACCCTTTTATGACCTCTTTTTGTTTTTTTGAAGAGCAATACAAAAAAATGACGCTAACTGGAAATATGAAACAAACTGTAGATTACTGCTCCTTCACTGGAAACACTGACAAGAAAGATAAAAATGAACAACCCAAGCGATAAATGGTGTCCAATGAAAATATACAGGTAAATGAATAATTAAGAAAAAGCAAGTTTATAACTATTAGTAACAGTAACCATGTAAAGAACACTGCTATGATTTCAATGTGTTCATCTAAGTTTAAGGTTGGAATCTTAATCCTTAATGAATTAAGAAATGAGGACCCCCCCCCCATGATTTAGTCATGAGAGCCAATGTGGTAGACGCATTTTCTCTTCTCAAATGACTCCAGTTTGTGTGAAATTAACAAAAGTCTGAGTAGGACAATGGGAATGGGCTCCTAATAAAAGTAGGAGGGTTCAGTCCCATTTTCAATTTTTTTCTCTTTCATGCATTTTTTTTTCTCCCACATAGGATGATGTTATAAGAAGGCTCTCACCAGATTTGGCCCTTCATTCTTAGACTTCCCAGTCTATAGAACAGTAAACCAAATACACCAAGTGGTAGTGGCACACATCTTTAATCCCAGCACTCGGGAGGCAGAGGCAGGAGGATCTCTGTGAGTTTGAGGCCAGCCTGGTCTCCATGAGCAAGTTCCAGGACTGGCTCCACAGCTACTGAGAAATCCTGTCTTGAAAACCCAAAAATAGAACAACAACAAAAAACAGTAAACCAAATAAACTTTCTACATTATAAACTATCTACTGGGGTTTCTGCTATAGCAGAAGCAAACAAACAAACACAAGTGCTTTGTCAGCATGCTGACAACAGGAGCCAATACTGCTCAGGCAAGTCAGGGACACCTACAGAGATGACACCTGAGTATGATTAAACATAGATAGAAGGGAAAGTATACAAGAAGAAAGAATAAAATAAATGCATATAGTGAGGTGATGGTTAGTATTGTCAACTTTGCAGGACCCAGAATTACCAAGGAGACAAGTTTCTGGTTACAACTGTGATAAAGTTTTTAAACTTGGGAGGGAAGATACACCCAACTGTAGGTGGCATTATCACACAGTCGGGGATCCAGGACTGAATAAAAAGGAGAAGTGAGATTCATTGTTCTTTGATTCTTTACTGTAGATGCCTGCCACTATGACTTCCCCATCATGATGAACTGTAACCTCAAACTGTGAGCCAGAATAGTCTCTTCCTTCCATAAATTGTATTAGTATTTTATTATAGTGACTAGAAAACATAAAAAAAATTGAGATGGTTAATATTATAAGCCTGATCATATGGTTTAAAGTCAAAGGCCTTTGAAACTAGTTTATAGGAAGATTATGGAAAAGTTTGTAGCTTTGGTCTAGGAAATTCCTACAACACTGTAAACAGAGGTTAATAGGCCATTTTGGTAGAAATTTGGAAGACCACAATGTTGTGAAATAATCTTTTTGCACACCGTGAAGATCTGTCACTCTGGTTTAATAAAAAGCTGATGGGCTAATGAGATGGAGGGTTCAGCAGTTAAGAGCACTGACTTCTCTTTCAGAGGTCCTGAGTTCAATTCTCAGCAACTACATGGAGGCATACAACAATCTATAGTGGGATATAATGCCCCCTTCTGGAATAAAGGTGTACATGCAGATAGAGCACTCATATACATAAAATAAGTAAATTTAAAAAAAAAAAGCTGAATGGACAATAGCTAGACAGGATTTCAGGCAGAGATGACACTGGGAAAAAAAGTGGAGACATCAGGGTACCTGGAGACATCAGGGAACATAGAGCAAGCAGCATGGGTATTACAAAATAAAGGTAACCAAGCCTCGTAAAAGAACATAGATGAGCACAGGGAACCACATCCTAAATAGAACCACAGCAGCACAGACACTGAGAGAAACAATTAATAAATGGGACATCCTGAAACTGAAAAGCTTCATTTCATTTAGGAAACAACCTAAATGCCCCTCGATCGAAGAATGGATAAGAAAAATGTGATATTTACACAATGGAGTACTACACAGCAGAAAAACATAACGACGGCTTGAATTTTGCAGGAAAATGGATGGAGCTAGAAAACATTATTTTGAGTGAGGTAACCCAGACACAGAAAGACAATTATCACATGTACTCACTCATAGGTGGTTTTTAAACATAACGCAAAGAAAGCCAGCCTACAAACCATAATCCCAGAGAACTTAGACAACAATGAGGACACTAAGAGAGACTTACATAGATCTAATCTACATGGGAAGTAGAAAGTAGGAAAAGACAAGATCTCCTGAGTAAACTGGGAGCATGGGGACCTTGGGGGAGGATTAAAGGGGGAAAGGGAGCAGAGAAAAATGTAGAGCTCAATAAATAGCAATAAAAAAAATGTATAAAAAAAAAAAAGAAATGCAGGAAGATTGCTGACAAAAGAGATTTCCAAACCATGCCCTGCATTAACTAGTTTAATAGGCAGAATCCAATAGAAAAAAAGACAAGGGGGACATCAGGAGACAATTAGCTCATCGAGTATAAAATGTCTACAAACAAAACATAGATGCATACTAAGAGATGGTAAAATACCAGTTACTTAACAGAAAGCCTAGGATCACTTTTTGGGTGAGTTTTGATGAAAACTCTTATACTTTGGGGTCGAAAGTAAATAGACAAAGAAGTAGTAACTATTAGGTCTCAAACCCAGGACAAATGGCTATTTAACATATCAAAACAGACCTAATGGCCAGGCTCTTCCAGCAGCCCTCAGTCTCAGCCCCTACCTTATGGTGGCATACCCTTCTCTATGTAATCCAGCCATTTTTGTTATCCAGTGCTTGTGGTCTACTCTTTATGCTCCTGGCCTCTTGGTCTCCTGTCCCCTCCCTGACTGTCCTCAAGTGGCCCAGCTTGTTTGCTCTGGTCTCTCCCAGATGTCCTTGCCTCTGGCTATGATCTCCTTTTTATCAACAACAGACATTCTCCATCAAACCTACCTACATTTGATATCTTTTATATTTCTTTTTTTTCACTCAGTAACTTACAGAAAAATATTAAAAGTAAAATGTAAAAATGTTAAAAGAGTAAAAGTCAGAAAAAAAATTCTACATTTTCTGTGAGATTTTGCTGATATGTTCAACTGAACCTGAGCAAATAAGATAAGGATACAGTAGTACTTTCATTCTACACAAGAGAAAGAAATAGGGATTCCAGTTATTAAAGTTTTTTTAATAGGACCTTTTTCCCCTCAAATATGACCTTTTAATGCTAATCTATTCCTAGTTCAATCTTCTCATGGGTTTAAAAAAATGGCTACTTTGCAATTCACATTTACTTGCATCTCTGAAACATCACAAAAGTTAATATTGCATACAGCACTCCCTCAATGAATGACCCTATATGAAAGACATTTCTCCAGACTTACTTTTCAAGTTCTTCCTGAGAATGGGCAAATGTACAATTTGTTCCTCGTGGACAACCCCCTTGTTGTCGCAAATCTCGGCACATGCTGGTTTTGTACTTGCTGTTGGGCTGGGGCTGTACCAACAATCATTTAGCAAACGGAAGAGAGAAGATACCAGTTACTATTGTACCAATGGTCATTCAGCAGACGGAAGAGAGAAGATACCAGTTACTGTTCACTCTCTGGACTCCAGAACTTAATGATTATACCACCCTTAAGACTTTTTTGCATCAGAGAAGGAACTCTCATGCCAAAACAAGTTCTATCTCATCATTTCCCATTGTGGGAGTGAGTGACACCCCTGAGGGACCCTTTAGACCTTCTTTCCAAAGGTTAGCTGAAATTGATTCAAATATACATCTATTTATTTCTTAGGTAATGTAATTTTCACGGAAAATATTTCTCAGTTTATTATTATCTTCAAATTGTGGCAACAAAATATCATAATTTGAAAATCACTTAAAAATGGCAGACTATGATCTTTACGCATTTAAAACCCTCCCAGAAAAAGGGGATAAAAATCATCACTTCACTAGTGGACTTGTGTGCACAACTCTACTCATAGGCAAACAATGATGGAAGGTAAGAAAATGAATCTTAACTGTTATATTTTACATCAAAATCTAAAAAGTTGTTCTTATTTCTGTGACCTTAAGATAAAGCATTCATCATTCAGTTAAGAGAATATTATAGTATTTAAGAATATAAAGTTAACAGATTTTGGAGTACTTTTGACACTACTTCTGTCAGATCCGGAGAGCACACCCTTCAATATCTAAACCCTTTAATTTCAGCTTGGCAACAGAAATTACCCTCCAGTTAGTTATTAGGATTAGAAATAAAATCTGTAAAACATTGTACATAGAAAGTATCCTAAAACAACTAACAAATGAATTTGGATAAGGGATTATATTTTAACTTCCCTTTCTAAAGTATAATAAAAATACTGGGGAATTTCAAATTCCATGGATATTATAAAACAGAAATTCACTTGAGAGAACAAAGGAGAAAAAAACTTTCTGCTAAAAAAAAAAGAACTGGACAAAATGTCAATGAGCTATATATATTTGGTCAAAAACATTGCAATTCAGAAAATTCACATCCAAAATGCCCATCTAAACTCATTATACACTGAAAAGCTAATCAAGTACAATAAAAAGTGATTTTTTCCCCCCAAAAGTACAAAATAAAAATTTTCAAGAAGGATGGGTATGCCATTCGACGTCCGACTTGTAGCCAAACCTGTCAGGCATGAAGCTCTGGGTTCAATGCCTGTACACTACACAAGCATACACACATGCACATTCCCCTTCTGTACACACAACTCCTAAGAGGAAAAGGTTATATAAGGAGTCTATTAGCTAATCAAATTGTTCATATGTTCAGGATGAAACTGTGTTAGACACAGCAGTGGCTAAAGTGTAATAAATCATCTTACCTGGGGTGTCTCGTGGCCTTTTCTACTATAGTTTTGTATGAAGTCCACAAGACCATGAACCACTGTTTTAACAGCTACCATTGCATTTTCCAGCTGTTCCCAAGTTGGAGAAACAGCATCTAAATTAAGAGCCAAAGGGATGGGGTGGGAGTTGGAGGAGACAACATATCAACAGTCATTCCACTGTACTATTTATATCAGAGTTTCATAAAGTAGAAGCACTGGTGCATTTTCCCACATACCTGGATTAGGGTCTATGTTTGCAAGAAGTTCTAAATGAGGTCTCAGTCTATTTAAATTAGCTGGGTCACCTGTTCGTTGCAAAACAATTGTCAATTCTTGGACACTCTTTGCAAATGATTCTGGAGACTGAAGCTAACAAACAGAAAAGAGAATGATTTTTACTCTGAATTTTAGAAAATACCTATATTCAAATGCTTTCCAATAGATCACCTTTCTTCATAGGTTTTCAAGTGTCTTCAGTTTTCTTAATAGGACGATCAATGATGAATTAAATTTTCACCTCAGAATCTGCCCTATGTAACTCATCACTAGACACTTAGAAAACATATTTATCAGCTATGCTAGCTCTCTGGGGCCAAAATGTAGATAAAAGTTTTCAACCTTACAACATTACAAAAGCAAAACATATTCAGTAGAAAGTATTTCATATTTTACATTTAAGTTTTCCCAGGTGAGTGATATAAAGTACAGTATTCACATCGTGGTACAATGGCACCAAGCTACAACTTTCAGTAAGCCACAAAAGCATGAGGGTAAAAGCCAATACATTATAAAGCCCAAAGTGTACAATGCTGCTAAGTTATCATCTTCACTAGGTTAGATCTGTGAAATGAGTATCTGGGTCAGATGGGCATAGCAAGTTGTAAAAAGAGGAGTGTATATGCTACAGTACTCTGAAACAGAAAGGATATAAGATCAGTACCTCTAATTTCACAAACCTTATCAATGATAGATTGCATGTGTGATTTATGAGCCAAGTCCCCATACAGCAGTGAGGACCACTGCTCAGGTGAAATACGGAGTCCTGCTTCCATGGCAATGTGAACAATTTGGGCATCATGTTCTCTGCGCAGTGCCTCATAACTTCGAAATTCCTCTTTTAGCTGCATCAGGGAAGAGTCTTCATCCCTTTTAGTAACCTAAAAATGGAGAAAAAAAAAATCAAACTCATTAGAATTGGCCTGCTCTTTCCCCTTACCCAACTCATTTACTTTGTGTTTAAGAGTTGGGGTAAAAGGGAATATATACCATGCACCAAAGCAGAAAACGTTAACAAAAATTCTCTTCAGAACAAAACAGAAACTACATAACCATGTATTCAATTGTTGTCTTTAATAACTTCACCAGCATTTGACAGGGAAGAAAGAATTAGAAAGAGAAAATTATAGTAATGGTGCTATTATAGGCTCCACAGCAACATGAACAAAAGGCAATTAAAAATGACAATTAACAGAAGGAAATTGTTCAGAAAAGGTTTTTTCTTGGCTGAAGCCTATGTGATCTACATCATGAAAAATAAGATTTCTTTAGGAAAAGGGAGAAAATAAATTTCTAAAAAAAAAAAAAGGTAAAACAGAAACATGAATGAAGAAAGGGCAGAGTTAAAAATTATTATACATGTCACAGAAGACTCAGACAGCCTTAAATAAGATGGTAAATCAGTCATTAAATCCTGAAAGAAATGAAAAGTCACCAAAATTTTTTACAGACGTGCTATCATCGCGTACATGTCTTTAGAAAACATTTTCCTTGCTTAGAGAGTTGTATTTTGCTGTTTTAGTGAAAAAGAGTCCTGCTTTCTCACTCGAGGAGCAGGGCTGAGCGCACCGCATTTGTCTAAGATGTTGGAGTAGAATATTACTAAGATGGCTGGAGTAGAATATTACTTGGAGTATTATTTACTGTGGTTGAGAAATGAGGTATTGCCGTTTAAGAAAGTAGAGTCCTGTTTCTAAGGTTGAGATTGTCTTTTTACCTAGAACAGTTTTGTGCAGAATGAGAATGAGTGCTTGTTTTTGTTTTTGAATTCTCTTAAACTCTTTGTCTCTTTCAGTGTGTGTGTGTGTGTGTGTGTGTGTGTGTGTGTGTACAAGTCAGAGAACAACCTTGGGAGTGAGGTTCTGGGAAAATTTCCTTTTACCTTCTATTCATCTTACTGTACAGGCTCTGGGATTTAAGATTCAAAAAACATAATACCACACCAAATTCTGAGACTCAGTCTAGACAAACCATTTGATCTATTCAAAACTCAACTTTTCCTGCTGGGCATGAGGGTGCAAATATCAGCATTTAAGAAGCTCAAACAGAAGAATCATGAGCACAAGTTTGGCCTGCACTAAATAATAAGACCCTGTCACAACTGCACAGTGTTGGCACACACCTTAAATCAGCTCTAGGGAGGCAAGTGGATCTCCATGAGTTTGAGAGCAACCTGGTCTACAATTTCTAGGACAGTCATGGTAGTTATACACACCTTTAATCCCAGCACTCAGGAGGCAGAGGCAGGGGGATCTTAGCAGTTGTGAGGTAAAAGGAAGAAGAATGGAAGTTTAAAGTCATCCTCAGCTACAAAACAAGTTCAAGGTCAGTTTAGGATACAGGAGAACCTATCTTCACATGCACACACACACGCACACGCACACACACCCCAAAGAAAAAGGGGGGAAAAAAACCAATGAAATCTATGAAGCTCTGAAAGACATAATCTCAAATCTTCTTGATGCCAGAGCCCAGGAATATAAACATAGATGACTCCAGTACTGAACTAACTTCCTTCCTTCCTTCCTTCCTTCCTTTTTTTGGTTTTTCAAGACAGGGTTTCTCTGTGGCTTTAGAGCCTGTCCTGGAACTAGCTCTTAGACCAGGCTGGCCTCGAACTCACAGAGATCCGCCTGCCTCCGCCTCCCGAGTGCTGGGGATTATAGGCTTGCGCCACCACCGCCCAACTCAACTTTTGAATTTCTTGGGGGGGGGGGAGTTTTTGAAACAATGTTTATCTGTATAATAGCCCTGGTTGTCCTGGAACTCACTTAAGCTGGCCTCAAACTCACAGAGATTCACCTACTTGCCTATGCACTCCCTCCCCCCAAGTTCTGAGAGAAGAGGCCAATGGGACTCCTTGTTTAAAACAATTGATATAAAGGGTTTTACATATGTTCAATTCAAAGTTACTGAAACCAATAGGGAGTGACAACTACCTGGTATCAAAAATTAATTAATACTGAAGAGAAGATAAAAAAACAATTCCTCTGAACTTTGGAAGTGTTCTGTATTTCTGGTGTCATTCATTACTCTAGGTAATATGGATTCTAGGAAGCTTCTGTCTCACACAATAAGCATGTAATCATCAGAGTTGTACAGCACTTACCTTAAAACAAGAAGCTCGATACAGTAGCTGCACAACATGACCAATGCTTGTTTTTGATGCCTGAGGAAATCTTGGTTCTAGTCTTTGCACAACAAAAAGTACCAGAACTTTCCTTGAGAGGGCAGAACCATCTTCCAGTGCTAGCAATACTAACTTCAAGGCTTCTTCTTGCATAGCTAGAAACAGTAAAAGAACAAAGATTATACTGATGATATCTGTCAAAAGTATATTTAGATATTTACTTATGGTGGTACACTAAAAACTGCATCTAATTAGCATGAAAAAGGGAAATCACTCATATACAAAAACAATTCATTTTTAAATTGATCAAGGGCCAGCAAAATGACTCATGAGGTAAAAATGCTTATTGAGCAAGACTAGCAACCTGAATTCAATCTCCAGAACCCAGATAAAAATAGAAGAAAAGACTCCACAAGATTCTCCCACAAACTCCACACGTCAAGGTATACTTTCAGTTAAACAGATTCAAGACACCCCATACCCACACTATTAATTTTTTCGTTTGTTTTTGGTTTTTCAGGGTTTCTCTTTGTAGCCTTGGCTGTCCCGAAACCCGTCTGTCTGTCTGTATGTATGTATATACATACATGTATATGTAAATGTATGTACACATATATTTTTACATATGTATATGTACATACATGCTGATCTTGAACTCAGAGATCCACCTGCCTCTGCTTCCTTAGTGCTCAGATTAAAAGCATGCAGTTTGCAATATTAAAATAAATTTTTTTTAGATTTGTGTGTATGAAAGTTTTCTCTACATGTGTGTGCCTGGTGCCATAGAGATTCTAAAAGGGTATAGGACCCCTGGAACTGGAGTCCGCAGATAGTAAAGCTACTATGTGAATACTGGGAATAGAACCTAGATCCTCTGCAAGAGCAAAGACTGATCTTCAACCACTAAGTCATCTCTACAGTCCCATAAGCAAGAATTTTAAAAGTTATCAAGCAAAAGAAAACATATGTTGCACTAATGATCATTCAGAACATAGGTGTGAACAGGACATTATTTCTTTTATTGTTATTTTTTAAATTGTATATGTATGAGTGAGTCTATGCATCTGTGCAGGTGCCTTCTCAGGTTAGAGGGGTCTTTCTTACCCCTCAGAGACTGAATTACAGGTGAGTCACCTGCTATAGATACTGAAATCAAACTCTATAAGAGCAGTAGCTGCTCCTAACCATTGAGTCATCCCTCCAACCCAGTGAACAGAAATTTCAATAAAATATCTTCTATAGGTAAATAACAGTAATTAGATAATGATGCTAATAGGAAAGCAATTCATAAAACAGAGTACTACTTTGGCAGTGATAATTTGCAAAGGACATACATATTTGGCTTATGCACTAGATAGTTAGTGTGCCTGTCAGAAACTATTTTGCCTATAATTTTAAATAATATTAGCCTTTGGGTAAACTATCTAAAGAAGGCATTAGCTAGGCCGGGCGGTGGTGGCGCACGCCTTTAATCCCAGCACTTGGGAGGCAGAGGCAGGCGGATCTCTGTGAGTTTGAGACTAGCCTGGTCTACAAGAGCTAGTTCCAGGACAAGCTCCAAAACCACAGAGGAACCCTGTCTTGAAAAACCAAAAAAAAAAAAAAAGGCATTAGCTTCGCTTATGTTGATTTATTATTCACTGGTTTTTAGAGACAGGGTTTCTGTGTAGGTTTCTGTAGATTAGCTATTCTGTGTGGACCAGGCTGCCCTCAGACTCAGAGAGTCACCTGCCTCGGCGCCCTAAGTGCTGGTATTAAAGACATGTGCCACCACTGCCTGGCTACTTATGCTGTTTTATAATTAGGAAAATGCAGAATACTCTCAGTCAAATCACTTGGGAACATCAGGCAAACCTAAAACGACAAATATTCTATAAAATAAATGGTCTGTATTCTTCAAGAATATGAATGCCAATGTTCAAGATGCTGATGGCTGGGCATGGTAGCTTAGGCCTCTAATACTTGGAATGATGAGGCAAGAAGCTCTTGAGTTCCAGGTTAGCCTTGGCTTCTACATGGTAAGACCTTGAAAAAAAAATAAACAACATTAAAAAGAGTCGTTATGGTCAGGCAGTGGTGGTGCACGCCTTTAATCTCAGCACTCAGGAGGCAGAGGCGGGCAGATCTCTGTGAGTTCAAAGCCAGCCTGGAGCTAGTTCCAGGACAGGTTACAAAGCTACAGAGAAACCCTGTCTCAAAAACAAAATAAAAAACAAACAAAAAAAAAAAAAAAGGAAAGAAAAAGAGACATTGTGATAACACAGTAAGAGACTGTAAATTGGGTCTTAAACCAGAAAACTCACAGAGATATGCCTGCCTCTGTCTCCCAAGTGCTAAATTAAAGGCATGCACCACTGCTGCCTGGCTTGTCAATTTTTTAATTTGATGAATACACTCTTTCCAAAGAGCAGTACCCTTGCTTTTAGGAAACACACTAAAGTACTGAGTAAAGAAAGGAGAAAAAAAAATGCGACCTATTTTAAAATATTTTTGAAAAGAAAATAGTTACCAAATGTAGAAGAATATTAAAAGTGATTAACAGTTAAGGAATATAATTATCTGCATTATTTTTACATGTTTTTAGTGAATTTAAAGTTATTTCATACTACAAAATTAAAAATACATTATTATTTATCAAAAAATGGAACTTTACAACTGAGATATCTATCATCAAGAGTCTAGAGTCAATCTAATACACTTTTCAAATCATGAGGACAGTATCATGCCACCGTCATTAGTCAAGAACAAAATGAGAGCTAATTGAGGACTTTATAAAAATTCGAGATAGAATTCTCATAAAATTAACCATTTTAAAAACATCCAGGAATAAAACTTAGATGTAGACTTCTTTCTTGCTTAGTATATGCAAGACCCTTAATTCCATCCCAGCACTGTAAAACAAAAAGAAGGTGGTCTGAAATATCCAGTAGCAATTAGTACATTCACAGGATAACCATTCAAAGACATTTTTACTGTTCCAGAGGAAAACTCATAGTCATCAAGAAGTCATCTCTGATAACCTTTTCTCCTTAGCATTTACTCATTTCCTATCAGGTTTCCTTCAAGTAACACAGTATTTTCAAACACTACAAGCAGTATGTATCACTCTAGGAGTATGTCATATTTTGTTTTACTTTATTTCTTTATATGGTTAGATAGCACTTTATGAACACATTATGTTTTGATTATGCCTCTATTAGTTGACTGACAAATAGGATGCTTCTGCCTATAAAATGCATGGCCGATATTGAGGACGATCCCTATCATCAACACGATGCAGGGAATGGTTCCAGATAAAAGAACACTAAAGGCCAGGCATGGTGGCATATCTGTAAAATCAATACTGAGGTTCTCTGAGACAGGGCTTCATATGTAGCCCAGACTGTCTCAGACTGGCCTCCAACTCATCTTCCTACTTGATCCTTCCCAAGTGCCAAGATAACAGGTATGCATGGTTATGACCAGCTTGTGCCTACTTTCTTTTCCCATGTGAGTTCTACCATTTCCAAATTGTGCCTACTTTTTAATCACTATAAATATTATTGCTATAAACATCGTGTCCGAGTATCAGTTTGAGTATCTAATTTCTATTATTTTGGAAGGCCCAGTGAACTCCTGGATTGCATTCAACTTTAGAGGGACTGCCAAAGTCTTTTCAATATAGGAGAGCACTGTTTTTCTATGTCCACATTCTTCACAGCATTATCAATTTATCAGGTGGTTTTGTTTTTAATCACAGCAAATCAAATATGTATGAAGTAGTATCTCACTGTGGTTTATTACTGCATGTGCATGCTCCAGGGAGCTACCCCAGTCAGGGCCTAACACAAGCTAGGCAAGCAATATCACAGAGTTCCACCCTGCTGCCCTTGCTGAATGTGATTTATTAAAGACTTTCGTTGTCCTACATATGCTTATTCTCCACCTGTCTCTTATTTGAATTACAATAAGAAATACCAGGTATCTAGTGCGTCTATAGATAAAAATAAACATGGATAAATATTCAAAAGCATCATCTTTAAGTTCATAAAGAATGAGGATTTTTAAAAAAATTTTAAATGTAACTTCAAGTTGTGCAAGATTGAAAGCACACACTTTTAACTATCAACACAGCTGTTTTCAGACAGTTTCGTCAACTTTTTCACTTTTCTAGATTATTTTACCTCAATGTCTGGATATAAATCCCAAACAACATATTACTTTACCGTTAAATACATATTTGTAATTGGTGACGCTTTTTCTTTTCTATTTTGGTTTTTCAGGACAGCGCTTCTCTGTGTAACTAATAGTCCTGGCTGTCCTGGAACTTGCTCTGTAGACCAGGCTAGCTTAAAACTCTGAAGAAATCTGCCTGCCTCTGCCTCCTGAGTGCTGAAATTAAAGGTGCTTAGCACCACCACGGTCCAACTAGTGAGTTTTTAAAATTTTTACATAAGAAGACTATTATCATCTCTAACAAAATAATATTTCCTTAATATCCAATCCACATTTTATTTCTCCAATTATCTTAACAGCACTTACTTATAGTTGGTTTAAGTTTCCAAAGATATTTAAGGGGCACCCAATTCTTTTGCCACATTTCAGTCCAGTTGTCCCAATGTCTCTCAGTAAAAATGTTTCTTAATACCTGTCTCAACAAACTAAAATCAAAACAAAACAAAAAGTTTCCTAAGAGCTAAAGAGATGGATCAGTAGTTAAGAGCACTTGCTACATTTCAAGAGGTTCTGAGTTCAATTATATAGAGTACCTGTGTCAGTCAGCTCACAACTGCCTGTAATTCCACTCCAGGCAGAGTATCTGACACTATTTTCTGGCCTCCTTGGGTACCTGAAAACATGTGACACACACTCACAGGGACAAATAAATACATGACTTTAAACTCAGCACTTGGGAGGCAGATGCTTGGTCTGTACAGTGAGTTTCAGGACAGCTAGAGAGGCATAGTGCGACGTGCACACCCACACACGCACGCACACACACAATTAAGTAAGTATTTACAGAAAACATTTAGCTAGCTGGGTCTGGTTGTGAATGATTGTTAATTCGAGCGGAGGCAAAAGGAGACCAACCTGTACTACACACAAAATATTTTCGGTCAGCCTTAGCTATACGAGTGACTTTAAAAAAAAAAAAAAGGCAAAACCAACTAAATAAAATGCTTCCTATATAAATTTTATTCAAATTACAGCTCTAAATCAAAAAATAAATTTCCCAATTAGCAGACAAGTACTTTATAACTTCGTATGAGAGATTGTTTTAAACAGGCCATCCATAGTATTGATCATTAAGAAACTTCCTGCTGGGGGGCTAGAGAGATGGCTCAGTGGTTAAGAGCATTGCCTGCTCTTCCAAAGGTCCTGAGTTCAATTCCCAGCAACCACATGGTGGCTCACAACCATCTGTAATGAGGTCTGCTCTGCTGCCCTCTTCTGGTCTACAAACACACAGAGACAGAATATTGCATACAAAATAAATAAATAAATAAATAAATTAATTAATTAATTAAAAAAAAAGAAAGGGCTGGAGAGATGGCTCAGTGGTTAAGAGCATTGCCTGCTCTTCCAAAGGTCCTGAGTTCAATTCCCAGCAACCACATGGTGGCTCACAACCATCTGTAATGAGGTCTGGTGCCCTCTTCTGGCCTGCAGACATACACACAGACAGAATATGTATACATAATAAATAAATTTAAAAAAAAAAAAAAAAAAGAAACTTCCTGCTGGTTTCAACATGTCCCATGTTTTCCAAGTGTTAACAATCAACCCAAAAACCAGGCGATGGTGGCGCACGCCTTTAATCCCAGCACTCGGGAGGCAGAGGCAGGAGGATCTCTGTGAGTTCGAGACCAGCCTGGTCTACAGAGCTAGTTCCAGGACAGGCTCCAAAGCCACAGAGAAAACCCTGTCTCGAAAAACCAAAAACCAAAAAAAATAAATAAATAAATAAATAAAAAAATAAAATCAACCCAAAGTTTATTATTTGTATTATGCTGCCCCTCCCAAATAACTTTACCTTCCTTGATGTACACCTGTGCAAATACAGGCCCTTTCCTAAACCAGTTTTTTTTTAATTTGCAAATTGCAGATGAGCCCTCTATCTCACTGATGCCAGAGAAATAAACGAGAAATTTCTTCCAAAGCAGTGGCCAGGTGGTGGTGGCACATACTTTTAATCCCAATGCTCAGGAGGCAAAAAGATGCGTATCTCTGTGAGTTCGAGGCCAGTCTGGTCTACAAAGTGAGTTCCAGAACAGTCAGGGCTTTTACACAGAAAAACCTTGTCTAAAAAACTAAATAAATAAAATAAAAGACTATGACTTATACTTTACAATGTCTGGATATGCAGGATTGTTTTTACCTGGTCCTAGAAACTGGCATCCTCGAGCCCTGACGGCAGCCCACAGGTTGGCAGAAAGCTGCTGAGGGTTCTGGTGCTGCAGAATCAGTTCTGTCACAGTTCTTTCTCCTAGTGAACGGGCCGCTCGCATAGCTCTGACACGACCTTCTTCCTCCACCAGTTGACAGTTTACAAGTGTAACTAGCTTCCTTTGCATTGGACGGCTTAGGGCACTCTGGTTCAAACTAGCTACACCTTTAACAAATGGAGACAAAAGAAACTCATTATTTTTTCAATTAAAAAAAAAAGACAATTTTCATCATCTATGTTTAATTATTAAATAATAGTCTGTTGTTAGATAATTTGATTTTCTAACTGAGTATTGTGGCCCTGTTGATTACAATTCTGTAATAATAAAGAGTCTAGTTCTTAAATACTTCAGGTATCATTTAGGTGTCGTGTTTTCTAGGCTGGATCTGTCCAAAGATTATACTGGGATTTACTTTACTCTCTGCTTTTAATAAAGTACCTGGAGATAAATTTACAGACAAATGAACATACATTTTTTTTTTTTTTTTTGGTTTTTCGAGACAGGGTTTCTGTGTGGCTTTGGAGCCTGTCCTGGAACTAGCTCTGTAGACCAGGCTGGTCTCGAACTCACAGAGATCCTCCTGCTTCTGCTTCCTGAGTGCTGGGAATAAAGGCGTGCGCCACCACCGCCCGGCCATGAACATAAATTTTAACCTTAAAAAGTAACAATTAGTAATGGCTATTAAAAAACATTGCACATAAAAAATTTTGAAATACTGCTTAAATATAGTTCTTATTCCCTTCCTTTGGACCTACTAACAGCATTGATCAGGATTCCTCCCCTTTTCTAGATCATACAATTTTTTTTTCTCTGCTTGATCATTTCGATCAGCAAAATACTTAAGAACAAGTATGCCACCATTCCAATCATCTTAAAAATGCAATGTCCTTAGACTAAAGAATGGATAAGAAAAATGTGGTAATTTACACAATGGAGTACTACACAGCAGAAAAAATAATTACATCTTGAATTTTGCAAGCAAATGGACAGAGCTAGAAAACATATTTGAGTGAGGTAACCTAGACATAGAAAGACAATTTTCACATGTACTCACTCATAAGTGGTTTTTAAACATAAAGCAAAGAAAACCAGCCCACAAATCACAATCCCTGAGAACCTAGATGAGAATGAGGACACTAAGACATACATAGATCTAATCTACATGGGAAGTAGAAAAACGCAAGATCTCCTGAGTAAAATGAGAGCACGAGGACCGTGGGAGAGGGTTAAAGGGGAGAGGAGCAGAGAAAAATGTAGAACTCAATAAAAATAAAAAAGGAGGAAAAAAAAGTCAAGATTTTTGTTTTTTTCTTTTCGAGACAAGGTTTCTCGGTGTAGCACTGGCTGTCCTGGAACACAGTGGCTTTGAACTCAGAGATTAAAGGCATGCGCCACCACTGCCCAGCTAGAAAGCAGATTTTTAAAAGGTAGTTTTTCTTCCTTTACTAGTTGTTTTTTTTCTTTACTTCCATGAGTAGTAAATCTTCTATTATCTGCCTTTCTCCCTCACTGCCCCTAATTTGGGAGACACTCAACTGGCCTTAAAAATGCTATGTAGCCCAACCTGCCCTCAAACTTCTGATTCTCCTGTCTTCAGCTTGTCTATCTTGTACATTTTCTATTATATACTATTCCTAACATCTTGCTTCACAAATCGGGAAAACCTATTCCAATTCAAGATTTTGCCACACTATCTCTTACACCAAACTGCTCATCAAGACAATTACATCAGACGTCACAATCCCTGACTTCAAACTACAGAGCTACAGTAGCGAAAACAGCCTGGTATTGGCATAAGAATAGACAGGATGACCAATGGAACTGAATAGAAGAACCAGGTATCAGTCTACACATCTTCGAACACCTGATCTTTGATACAGAAGCAAAAAATATCAATTGGAAAAAGAAAGCATATTTAACAAGTGGTGCTGGCATAACTGGATATCAACATGTAGAAGAATGAAAATAGACCCATATCTATCTCCATGCACAAAACTCAAGTCCAAATGGATCAAAGACCTCAACATAAAGCCAACCACAATGAACCTTATAGAAGAGAAAGTGGAAAGTACACTTGAACGCATTGGCACCGGGAACCACTTCCTAAATATAACCCCAGCAGCACAGACACTGAGAGAAATAATTAATAAATGGGACATCCTGAAACTGAAAAGCTTCTGTAAAGCAAGGGACTCAGTCAACAAGACAAAAACGACAGCCCACAGAATGGGAAAAGATCTTCACTAACCCCACATCAGACAGAGGTCTGATCTCCAAAATATACAAAGAAATCAAGAAATTGGACACCAAAAGATCACATAATCCAATAAAAAAAATGGAGTACAGACTTAAACAGAGAACTCTCAACAGAGGAATCTAAAATGGCTGAAAAACACTTAAGGAAATATTCAACATCCTTAGACATTAGAGAAATGCAAATCAAAACAACTCTGAGATTCCATCTTACACCTGTAAGAATGGCCAAGATCAAAAACACTGATGACAACTTATGCTGGAGAGATTGTAAGGAAAAGGGAACACTTCTGCATTGCTGGTGGGAGTGCAAGCTGGTACAACCCCTTTGGATGTCAGTGTGGCGATTTCTCAGAAAGTTAGGAGACAACCTTCCTCAAGACCCAGTAATACCACTTTTGGGTATATATCCAAAGGATGCTCAATCGTGCCACAAGGACATGTGGCCAACTATGTTCACAGCAGCTTTGTTTGTCATAGCCAGAACCTGGAAAACAACCTAAATGCCCCTCGATCGAAGAATGGATAAGAAAAATGTGATATTTACACAATGGAGTACTACACAGCAGAAAAACATAACGACGGCTTGAATTTTGCAGAAAAATGGATGGAGCTAGAAAACATTATTTTGAGTGAGGTAACCCAGACACAGAAAGACAATTATCACATGTACTCACTCATAGGTGGTTTTTAAACATAACGCAAAGAAAGCCAGCCTACAAACCATAATCCCAGAGAACTTAGACAACAATGAGGACACTCAGAGAGACTTAAATAGATCTAATCTACATGGGAAGTAGAAAGTAGGAAAAGACAAATCTCTTGAATAAACTGGGAGCATGGGGACCTTGGGGGAGGATTAAAAGGGGGAGGGAGAGACAAGGAGGGGAGCAGAGAAAAATGTAGAGCTCAATAAATATAAATAAAAAGAAAAAGGGAGCCGGGCGATGGTGGCGCACGCCTTTAATCCCAGCACTCGGGAGGCAGAGGTAGGCGGATCTCTGTGAGTTCGAGACCAGCCTGGTCTACAGAGCTAGTTCCAGGACAGGCTCCAAAGCCACAGAGAAACCCTGTCTCGAAAAACCAAAAAAAAAAAAAAAAAAAAAAAAAGAAAAAGGGAAAAATAGACAATTACATCTGCTTTGTTAAATCCACTTTTAATTTTCAACCATTATTTTGACTTTTCAGTAACATTCAATATAGATGATTTTAGTCTTTAAGCACTTTATTTTGGTTTACAGAACATTCCATCTTCTTAGTTTTCTTCCTTCTAGTATCCCTTGATAGCAATTTTTAACTCCCACCTTGATCTATTAGCATTAAAGAGTCTATCGTCTAAACTCATTAAAGATGATCTCATCCAGTCTCATTGATATCCAAAACATTCATATTATAATAATCCCTAAAGTTATAGGTCATGCACCCCATGCTGAATTCAAAACTCACTGGGCACTCAATACCAGCTTAACATAACCAAACTGAACTCGAGCTTCTTACCCAAACGTGATCTATTCCAAAAGTTGAAGCAACTCTCTTTGCAGGTACTTAAGCAAAAACTTCAAGAATTGCAGTTGTTTCTTCTGCTCTGCCTCTCAAACTCCCAATCTAGCAAATATTTTGTGCCTTACCCCCAAATGTATCCAAACTTGATATCAACACCACTTTTGCTAACTGCCTCAATTGCTTAACTCTTCACTATTTCCTTTTGTCCTTCTAAACAGTCTCAATACAACAGTCAAAGTGACCCTTTAATGTTAGTCAAATTATGTCACTACTCTGTTCAAAACCACTCCCCAACTTTACTTAGAGCAAAAGCCCACGTCTTTAAACGGTCTGAAAGTCGGTGTATCACTTTGTCTCACTATAGTTATCTTAACTTTTCTTGTAATACTCTCCTCACTCACACTATTCCAAGCACACTCTCCTCTTGCCACAGGGACAATACACTGGATGGCTGTTCCCGCTGCCAAGAAAATACTTTTCCAGGATCTATCTCAGTATCTATCTCACCTCTTTTTACCACAATTAAATTTCAAGAGCTATATTCTAAAAAAGGACTTCACCAGACAGTCTTAAAACTTGTAATCTGTCTTTATCCTCTCTCTCTGACATTTTAACTTGTGTATTCTCTTTTTATACCAATTACCACTTATATTCTAAAACCTAATTCATCATACTGTTTATTATAGTTTCTATTTACTGAACAAGTACTACATATAGCTTCAGGTTGTATTTTCCTGTTTACCAAAGTATTTCAAGCACCCTAAGTTCACTCTTTATTAATAGGAACAAAGCCGGGCAGTGGTGGCACACGCCTTTAATCCCAGCACTCGGGAGGCAGAGGCAGGCGGATCTCTGTGAGTTCGAGACCAGCCTGGTCTACAAGAGCTAGTTCCAGGACAGGCTACAAAACCACAGAGAAACCCTGTCTCGAAAAAAAAAAAAAAAAAACCCTGTCTCGAAAAACAAAAAAAATCACGTTTATTAATTGGAACAAAATAAATATTTAATTCATTTAATAACCATTATATTTGTAAGAAATAGCCAGCTAATCACTGGAAAAGCAATGATAAACTACAACTCTGCTTTTGTCAAAGCAATTAAAATAATTTATTATACTTATATACCCATCTAATAGACTGTGGATTCCATTACAGGCAGTGACTCTAGCTAATGTTAAGAGCTCAATACTTAACACTTGACAAAATCTTACACACTAATAAAAATGAATCTTACAAACTTAACTTACCTTTACCTCCACTTAGTGGTTTTAAGTAGAGTGCCAAATTTTCAACACATTTTTTTGCCACTTCATAGTGTTTATTCTCACCTAGATTACTTAATTTTATTGATTGATGATCTGGCACCTAAAAAATAAAAAAAAATTGTAGCGATGCATTCATTCAGGTCATGCAACTTCTCTTTATCTGTCTTGGAGAGTATAACATTATTATACAGATACTACATCGAAGCCATTTAAGTGAACTTAAAATGAAGCTGGAAAGTTAACAGTAGTCTATCAATGTTAATCTTCAATCATACATACCATTTAGTACTAACTTCTACATGAGTCTACTTATTAAATTTATATATTAGGACCTATACCCCCTTGACAGAATGTAAGTACCAGAAATGTAGTAACTCAATGATCAGAATTCCCAACTAGTCCATGTGAGGCCCTTGGTTTAATCCCCAGCACCAGAAGAAAAAAAAAAAAAGTGGGTAAACTTCATATCAATTTCCATTTCTGTAAAACGATGACGATATGTTTCATAATGTTATTATGAAAGTTTAATTCAGTAAAATACTGACATTTATAGAATATTTCTCATGTGTTTACACTATGGATCTATCAATAATCAAAAGAAAAAATGTCTGCCTCAAAGAGTCTATGTTACAGAGGTTAAGAGGCAGCCAATAAATAAATAAATATATACACAAATACTATGTTAGAAGGTGATCTATGAAACTACACTGCAAGTACAAATAGAAGAAGAACTATGGAGAGAGCTGGAGAGGTGGCTCGGTGGTTAAGAGCCCTTGCTCCTGTTCTAGATGACCCAGGTTCAGTTCCTAGCACCCATGTTGGGCAATTCGTAACAGCCTGTAACTCCAGTTTCAGGGATCTAACACCTTCTTTGGATCATTTGCATGCATGTGTGACATAAATAAAGGTAAGTATTTGGGGTTGTGACATCCCTACATATAGATATATACCCAGACAGACACATTTACACAATTAAATATAATAAAAATAAACTTTAGAAAATAAAGAACTGGAAAAGCATGGCAATTTACTAACTTCCTGTAGAAGTGTAAACATCTGAAGATATTTCAAAGTAGAGAGAGGGGAATTACTGTAGATAAAGATATTTTAAAAATCCCTACGCATGAATATATATATATATATATATATATATATATATATATATATATATGAGAACTCTAGCACAGCTAGAGATAAGGAAGGGATGAACCTGGAAAAATGTATGTCACAATGCACAGGTGCACAGACTGTTTTAAGCACTACAATAATACATTTATTCAGAAGGAATGCTAAGACTACCTGAGCTAGAGCAATCTGACAGTAGGTAGTATTATTGTAAAAAGCAAGTATTTTACTGGCTCTTAAAGTGCCACTGTTGTCAAGAGAGAGCATTATTCTATGATATATTGGGAAAAACATGCTATGCTGCCAATTAAACCATGACACTATTAATTAAGGAATCACCGCCAAGATTAATTTTAAAACAGTGAAAATAAGACTTTGAGCATTAAAAGAACAGCATCAAAAAGAAATGAATATAGTGAATTATTAAATTTCCTGAATAAGCCAGGAAGCTTTTCATGAAACTGTAAACTCCATGCTTTAGTTAGTTTTGGGTTTGTTGTTTTGTAGATGCTATTTCACTTGGCTTTTTAGAGATAGTTTCCCTATTTGGGCCACACTGACACTGAACTCTTATCTTCCTTCCTGTAGCACTGCCACTAGTCTCTTGCTTAATATGTAGTGTGCCATGCGTGGAATTACATCTTCTCTTCTGTAAGTAGGGGTAATATGTACCTAAACAGCTAAGAATTAGAAATAACATTCAGAACATTTATTCTCATACATACAATTTAACAGACCCTAATGAAATAAAAGTTATTTATCAAAAATAGATTTTTTTTTTTTTTAAGACAGGGTTTCTCTGTAGCTTTGGAGCCTATACTGGAACTAGCTCTTATAGATCAGGGTGGCCTTGAACTCACAGAGATCCTTGCCTCAGCCTCCCGAATGCTGGGACTAAAGGCGTGCACCACCACTGCCTGGCAAATAAAGGTTCTCGCTATCATTCAGTGAAATTATATGTGAAAAAATCACATATACAGCAGAATAAGATGCTGCACAGAAATTGTTACTGATACAATTTATTTTCTCATTTACATATCCAACTGACAGTAACATCCTAAACCAATTGAAGTTATAAAAGACACCAACCAAGTCTCTACCTTAGGGCTATTTAAACCTTTGATTATATTTTTCACATGACTTAATGAATAAATACTGATATACTCATATACAAACTGTTGCTCAACAATCAAAGCACTTACATACATAAATTTTGGCCTTGGTATTGAGAAAACAAAGATATAATTGTAATGTGATTCATTATTTTGTATAAGAATTTATAGCATTAAAACAACTCACAAAAAGTAAATACACTGATATATTCTAGGTTTCTACTACCATTCAACATACACTGTACTGGCTAATAAACTAATTTTGACAACTGACTATACTAAATCAGTAAAAATACTGGACACTTACCTGGGCTCCAACTAACTGAAGAAGTGCAAAGTTGACAGGGAGCACATCAATGTCTGTGTTTATGGCAGTTTGGTCAAAAGGACACGCTTTTCGGTGAAGTTTATTCAAGCAGGTCTTGCAAACTGTATGCGAACAACCTAAACTGATGGGTTTGTGCACATTCTCATCAAATTCATTATAGCAGATTGGACAGGACAGAAACTCTGTCCATTGAGCTGCCTGCACAGGCATTGTGGAAGCTGATGCTCGAGTTAGCAATCTAGCATATCATTATTTTGCTGTGTAGTGTTTTATAAGCTGCAAATGGATAAAAGTAAGAATTAATGATATATTTATTAGTCACTCAGTTAACTATTAAAATCAACTACCAACAGTGCAGAACCTGAAACATTTCTGAATATAGGGTTTAGATGTCTGTACAACAATAAACAACAAAACTATATGTTGAATTAATTTTGAAAATTTACCCAGAAACAATCTGTTAATATTATTCCTTTCAACTAAACTCTGGCCGGGCGGTGGTGGCACACGCCTTTAATCCCAGCACTTGGGAGGCAGAGGCAGGCAGATCTTTGTGAGTTCGAGACCAGCCTGGTCTACAAGAGCTAGTTCCAGGACAGGCTCCAAAACCACAGAGAAACCCTGTCTCGAAAAACCAAAAAAAAAAAAAAAAAAAAAATCAACTAAACTCTGATTGCTTATGTAATAATAAACAAAATTGTTTATTTCCTTAGTGACCAAAAACATATTTTCACATTATAATTTTTATTACATTTAATGTTTTTATTCTGAACAAATGTGTGTTTATGTGGATGTATGCAGGCCCATGCATGCCATGGCATGCTAGTCAGTTTTCTTCTTCTACCATGTGCAATCTGAGGATAGAGCACAGGTCATCCACTGGGTTTGGCGATAAACATCTTTACTATCTCACTTGCCTTCCACATTCTGTCTTAACAAGAACTCCTAGACTTAAAGTTTCAAGTGTTTTCCTTGGATAACCACTACCTAAAAATATACTGATATGGCTTACTAGCTAGTAAGCTTCAGAAACTATTGGCCAAAATAACACTATAGGGATAGGGATGTAGCTCAGTCATACAGTGTCTGCTCAACAGGCTGGAAGCCCCGATTTAATTCCTAGCACTACAACCACCACAACAAACAACACTATCCACTTCAGTGTGAAAATGTCACCTTGGCACCTGAAGGAAGAAGTTTATGATTAGGGTGTGCCTCAGAAGCTAAGTGAGTTACTGAAAATCTACAGCCAAGACTGTGATGACAGAGGTGTCTGTTGCCTATAAATAAAAGAATGATGCTAAACTAAAGAAAATATTGTCTAGGACATTAATATGGCTCAGCAGGTAAAATCACTTGCTGTTAAGCTTGACAACCCATGTTCAAGCTCTAGGACCAAACTGTGGAAGGAGAGAAACAATTTTCACAAGTTTTCTATGAACATGAGCGTTACATGCAACTCACCCCTGACAAAGTAAAATGCAAAAATCCCCCAAACCAAAAAATTATCTACAATTTTTTTGTCACAGTTCATTATAATACTTTTGACAAAAGTAAGTGTGTATCTGCATCCAATTCTTGCCAAACCCAATAGAGCTGGCTTAGAAAAAGAAAACATTATTCTTTTCAAATAATTCTAAGCAGAAAAAAAAGCAAAATATAAAATTTCTATCTTTGCATTGATTATAGTAGGCACACAGAAAAATAACTATAATAATCTTATGTATTTTCTTGTTTAATAGTTGCATAGCATTTAGTATAACTCATAAAATTTCAATATTTTCCAATTTAAAACTATGCCAGGTGGTGGGTGGCACACGCCTTTAATTCCACCACTTGAAAGGCAGAGGCAGGAGATCTCTGAGACCAGTCTGCTCTACAGTCTGATATACAGAGCAAGTTCCAGGACTGTTACACACAGAAACTTTGTCTTCGAAAAACAAAAACAAAAAACTTATGTAAGTCTGACAAAGGCCATCAGACAAACAACAAATCTAGGTATCTAGAAACTGAACAGCCAATACCTTATTTCATACAAATGTTTACCTACTAAATAAGTAAGACATACAGAATACTCGTTGCTTGAAAGAGTAATCAGCATCAGGCGAGAGGAACATGTAACAATGAGCACTACCCCAGCCCAGCACCCCAAGAGACAAACAAACAAACACTCTAGTGGCTCTTACTGCAATATTAAAAAAAAAAAACCCCTAAAATTACTTGGTAAACATAAATTACAGGTCTTACTATATTAAAAAAATCCCATACAATGAACAAATTTTCACAAACAGCTCTAATGCAGAAAAGTATTACATATTAATATCAACAATATATTTTCTTCTAAGCAACTCAAAAATTTCAAGTTATTATTTTTATACTTTATCCTCAAATTTCCAAACTGATCAGAGCTACCAATCTAAAACTATCTAGTCTGCTTCCAACTTTAGAGATCGGCAATAAGCAGGTGAGCAAATCCTCCCTGAAACTAACATATTAGATGTTTTGTTTTCTGGCTGCAGAATTATAAATCCAGGCAAAAAGATGAATTTCATTGTAAATCTACAAGTGGAGCTTTGAATTAGTAACACAAAGTGATTTTTTTTTCAGACAGATACTAATTCTACTGAGTTAGGCTGCTGGACAACAAAAGACTAAGAACTAAGTCTCCTTAGTTTCCCAAGACCATTAGGACAGTACTCCACATCCATCTGACAGTCCTGTAATCATATATGCATACACACACACACACACACACACACACACACACCAGAGATTCTAATACTGTCGACAAGTTTAGTTCATATTTAGAAACTACACAAATGCCTTTAAAATGTATAGAAAAGAGCTAAATCAAATTTTGACAATAACTATTGAGTTTTTCCCTTGCTGTTTGCCAAACTCTAATAGTAAATTTATGAACTAAACTTTCCTTATAGGATATGATTTGATTTCTAAGAATGTTTTCCTTCAGTATTGTAATCAATAAATTCTAGGTACACAAATTAGAAATTAAGATTTTATCTAAAATACAGAAACTTGCATAGCCCATTAAAATATTTAATTAGTGACAAAATTGGAATTTCAATTCTCAATTAAAGAGAGTTTTTCTTCTTCTGGTTTTTCAAGACAGGGTTTCTCTGTATAGACCTCAAATTCATAGAGATCTGCCTGCCTCTGCCTTCCGAGTTCTGGCATTAAAGATGTGCCATCATGCCAGGCAAAAAGAGCTTCTTAAACTTATGTACAAAATACTTTAACAACTACCCAAAATAACAGATATCCTATTATTTTTATATTTTTCAGAGAAGTATATAAATTAACAATGAAGAGATAGGCATATTAATTTATAAAACTTTTAAGCTTATAGTGATGCATTTTAACAATGACTTGATGCAGTGAGTACCTTAATTGCTGTTAACATTTATAGTGACTAGACGCACTTACTCCTAAATATACTTCACAAATTGATAGAAAACAGATTAAAAAGACCAAAAGTCTAGATACCTACAGAGATTGAGAAAATGTACTTATTTTTGCATTAACTAATTTTAGTAACTAGTTTTAAAAATTGAAAAAGTGTTAAGTTAAAGCACAAAAAGAAAAAGGCTAAAATAGAGGCTGAACCTGAAACAGTCTCAGATCCTTGTGAACACAAGCTTTTTATGATATACAAGAGTAACAGACTTGCCAGGCGGTGTTGGCACACACCTTTAATCCCAGCATTCGGGAGACAGAGGCAGGCATATCTCTGAGTTCGAGACCAGCCTGGTCTACAAGAGCTAGTTCCAGGACAGGCTCCAAAAGCTACAGAGAAACCCTGCCTCCAAAAACCAAAACCAAAACTAAAACCAAAAAAAAAAGAAGTAACAGACTTGTCTTATAGCTGTAAATTACAAACTTCTTTACCAAAAAACAAAAACAAAACAAAACAGCATACCAGCTAAACACTTTCATTTTCTGTTATTTATATTACACAATCAGATCAGGACACAACACAGAGTAGAGAGTGTATAGGCCTTTTTCACTGCATTATGTTAACACATAGTACTTTATAATTCTGTTTATAAAAATAAACACTTAGAAGTCAGTTCTGTTACTTTAAAAAATTAACTATATTTGAGTACTATAAGCTACTGCAATGAACTACACCAGTACTTTCCTATATAGAACATATCAAACTAATTAGCTTTGATCAGGGATGTGGCTCAGTGGTGGAACACTTGCCTAATGTTTGTGAAGCTTTAAATTCAATCCCCGGTACTGCAAAACAAAACAAAACAAAACGCAGCTTTAGATTTAAAATCATACTGTGAGCATCAGAAGTACAATGTAAGACTCAACCTAAGAAACAAGCAAACACTAATGGAAATAACCTGTAAATTCTATGGCTCAGCACTCAAGGACAACAGAGTTTGGAGAAAAGAGAAGCTGTATCACAATGTCAAAAACTACTATTTTGTTTAAAGCTATGAGATGGATGAGATCAATTTTAATCCTCAAATTAGGCTTGAACCAAGTATTTTAAAATGAGAGAACTTTCAATGCACTCTAATAGGAAAAAAAAAACCTTCCAATTTAAACTAACGAAGTTCTACTTATTTTTTTTTTTTAATTTTCGAGACAGGGTTTTTCCATAGCTTTTTTTTTTTTTTTTGGTTCCTGTCCTGGAATTAGCTCTTTTAGACCAGGCTGGCCTCGAACTCACAGAGATCCGCCTGCCTCTGCTTCCCGAGTGCTGGGATTAAAGGCGTGCACCACTATGGCCTGGTGAAGTTCTATTTCTTTAGTGATAGCTAGATTTGAAAAAATACTTTGTGATGAAACTTAATTATGTGTTCTGACACTAGATAACCTTATCTTTCTTATTACTAGAATCCTTAGCCCTCGAATTATTTTGACGCTAAAAGGATACCATCATAAGATTTTGGTTCTTCATGTATTTATTTATTGTATCTCTGCAGTGCAGTTGACCCTTATAAGTACTAAGGAAGTTCAGGGCAAGAGTATAGCCAAGTTCAAGGCTAGCTTAGGCTACACAGTGAGTTCCAGGCCAGCCTGGGTTAGAATGAGAGCCTAACAAAAAACAAAAAAAACTTTAACAATTTCTGATTGTCAAATTTTTAAAAAGGCCAGCACTTGGGAGGCAAAGGCAGGTGGATCTCTGAGTTCGAGGCCAGTCTGGTCTATAAGAGCTAGTTCTAGGACAGGCGCCAAAGCTCACAGAGAAACCCTGTCTCAAAAAACAAAACAAAACAAAAAATATGAAAAAAGGAAAAAGAATATAGATGAATCAATTTTAGTGATACTTTTTATATAATTAAGTAAAATATCATTTTAACCTGCAATTATATAAAAACTTAAAATATTAAAATGTTTTAGAATTTTCAATTAAGTCTTTGAAATGTGGTATATATTTTGCACTTAACACATTTCAAGACCTTAGTTGTTACATGTGGCTGCTATCAGGTAGAAAAGGTAAATCTAGACTACAAATGATTATAAGGTAATACTCAAAATATAATTTTTATTAAGAATTTGAGTTAAAAGTCACATTTAAGGTTCTAATGGAATTAGAAAACTCAATCACAAAGATAAAATCGACAACACTCATGTGAGTAGATGCAATTCATTTTTAATTTCCAATTAGCTTTATTTTCTGCAGACTTCCTTTTTCCAACACTAGGAAGTGAAACTTCAACCAAGTCCAACCAAAAATAATAAAGTACTTATTACAACTTTGTTACCAGCAGTCATGGTGGTGTACTCCCTTAGTACCAGCGCAAATGAGGCAGAGGCAGAATCATCACTCACTGTGAGTTCAAAACCAGACTGATCTACATAGTGAGTTTCAGGACAGTCAGGACTATGAAGAGGGGATCTTGTCTCCAAAACAAAACAAATTAATAAACAAAACAACCCTGTTACAAATTTATAGCATTCTTAACCATCACACACAATGTTCTAGTTTTAATATAAAATCCTGAGTGTAGGGGAAAATGCTTTTGCCAACTAGAAGGAAGCAAATTACAAACACAAAAAGTGAATTAACAAAAACATGGATATTAAGTCTTCCTGCATATCACACTAACACAACAGTAACAGATCATGAGTAATTCAAAGGCTTCTCTAATTAACTAGACTGCAAATAGATTCTCAAAGAATAAAAGTCTGTTCGAATTATGGTATCAGCCTTTTCTAAACAAGACCGGGAAATAAATTTAACATTTTGTTCTAGCAGTTTTCCAAACTCTGAAATTTGGGGAAACAAGAATCTTCGAATCAACAATAAAGTGTGTGTGTGTGGGGGGGGGATGCCTTTAATAGGATGTGTTTAATGGCTTCTATTTTTTCAAGAATTGACTGTGTTAGTAAGCAACTTAAGATACTGATGCTGAAGTCAGAACAGTGATGTAGGTTTTTGTTTTGTTTGGTCGTTTTTTAAAACCAGAATAAAGGTGGAAATGGGGGAATCTACAAAGCATTCTGGACCCACAAACTAAAACATTTGTTTCTTTCCTTCCGGGTCACATTATATCACTTTAGTGTGTCCTTATTAGTTTTCTCAGGTAAACTAAAAGCTTTTATTGGAGTGTGACTAATAAAAAATGATAATAAGATTACTTATACACTTTATTTGGGATACAAAGTCACTAATCAAGGTAAGAAGAAATCACTAAAAAGGGTTCTAGGTAAGAGGGCAGTAGGATTAAAAAGAACTGAGATAGAGCTTAAACAAAAATATAAACAGGTTGAGAATCACTGAATTTGACTACTGTATGTCTGTGATTACTTGTGACTATTTTGGTGTGAAGGCTGTGTCTGCCAGTATCTTAAAACTCTTAGTGATTTCAAAGATGGAAATGACAGCTACCCTTATCTTCTTTCTTCTTGAAGGCTAAGGACAGAGAAAAGTCCAGTTTTCTTTGAGAAACAATGATGCTTCCTACCATTCTCCTAAGATGGTGGAAGAATCTCCTCAAGAGGCTTCCCCAAGGAAAATAAGACGAAAGAGGGAAAGAAAGCCATAACAGACTTCCCGGTCTGTGTTTCATGCCATTGCTCCTAGTCACATCCCCTGCGCACCCTCTCTGGTCTAACCATCTCCCTACAGGGAGGTTAAGTCTTCCCTGGGCATTGTTTGGCCAGGGTCCCTATTAACGCCAGGCATATCGCCTCCACCATTCGTGCGCTGGGGTCTCGGTAAGCCCTGAGGCTGAAAGAGGACGTTATCAGGGCTTCGGAAAACCCTCTTCCTAACTGGGGTAGGCAAAGAAGGAAGCCGGCCTCTGCTCGGGTGGGCTTCTCAGTGGTCAGGGGGCATCCCTTCAGCTAGGGACGGTGGCCATTTGAGCGTCTCGCTTCTCATCAAAAAGCCCTACCGGAGCGAGGGGCTCTTCGGGGTCCGGGGTTCGCCGAGGGTCGGGTGCGGCCCGCGATTCCCAACCCTCGGGGCACCGGCGGTCACCATGCACAGGCCGCCGGGCAGAGACAGCTCCCCGCCCCACCTCTGGGGACCGGACAGCGGGGCCGGGGCCCAGCCGCACCGCGCCCGCCCCCGCCCTACCTGAGGGGCCCGGGCGGGATCGCTAAGGGCCGCTCCCGGGGACCCCGCGACGGCGCGGCTTGGCGACGGAGGCGCCTCGTCTCGCCGGGGCAGAGCTCGGCGGCGGTTTCAGGGCCTCAAACTCCATCGGGAGCTACAGGGACAGCCCCGTTGGCGGCGGCGAAGGCCGCGACGGGGCCTCCTCCTCCCTCCCTCCGCCTCCTCCTCCTCCTTCTCCTCCTCCTCACCACGGAGGCGGACCTGGAGGGATCCCTACTTAGCTCTCGCGAGAAGATACTGTTCACTTCCCGCGAGATTACGCAAGCCCGGGAGTTGGGGTGGAAGGGAAGCGTAGTAGCCCTCACCACTTAACTGCGCATTAGTTTCCCTCTGAAGAGCTAAACCGTGGTCACATGACAAGGGAGCCCTGGAGTACTGTGGGAGATGCTGTGAGGAGTAGGCGAGCCAAAGAGACTTATGGGAAACTCCCTGAACAACCATCTAAGCCTTGAGGCCAGGCCGTTAGTGCGGTTGAGCCAACGTTAAACTTCCACCGCGAAAGGCTTATCATTCATTGAGCAGATCCTATTGAACCCTTCTTGTGAGATACTGACCAGATTAGCAAATAATGTTCCAGGTTACAAAAACCAGGACCAAAGTGAAACGATCTAAAATCCCAAATGCCTCAAAAAGAGGAAGGATCATAATTTGCAAGTTTTGGCATTTTGACTCAGTATTTGTTAATTTATGTAAAATGGAAATTATCCTTTGTTCTAATAAATGAAGAAACATTGGGAATAAGGATGAGAAAAGCAACAATTATGAACTACTATATGCCAGACTTTATGATAAGTGATATAAGCATTTTAGTTTTACTTATAATTCACTTACCAAAGTAATACTAAAAGGTTGATATTGTGTAACCTTTGTTAATGATGTGCAAGTGTAGAGGTTAATGGTCACGCCTTGTAATTAAACTCGCATTTTCCAATGCAAAATCAAATATTCAACAAAAATCTGTGAATCTGTACATAAACTAGAATATGGAAAAATGACTTTGATAAGGAGCCTTTAAGACACATGATTCGAAAGCCAGGTGTGGTGGTGCATGCCTGTGAACCCAGCAATTGAAAGACTAGGGCAGAATCATAGCCTGGGCTGCACATCAAGAATTCTCCTCCTCCCCAGTATTTGCACACACACACCATAACCACAGCAACTCACAACTTCCCGAAAATGTAGCTCGAGGAGGAGATCCAAAGCTTCTGGCACTTACAACAAACAAGAACAGGGTTTTATTTTTATGAAAGATCCATTGGCCCCACAAATCTTACTTACTTCCATTTATTATTCCTACTTTCATACAATTATGCTATTCAAAACAGAAAATTTCCCATCAGGTGTACACTTTTGTATTTTTAACTGGACGGTGATGAGAAAGTTCGTATGTACACATCCCTAACCACGGTGTATGTGTGCATCTTTCATTTTATGCCCATTAGATATACCCTTCCATTGCACGGAAGAAAGATAAATTCCTCAAATGTGGAAAACTATATTTAAAGTAACAACTACATCTTTTTTTCCTATCATAATTTATCCCTGGCATTATGTTTGACAAATTGATTTCAAAATTTTACATACATTGTCTATCTCCAAGACAGCTGGTATTCTTTGTGTGCTTAACTTTTAATACAGAGAAAAAGAAACCAAGTAGCTATTTCAAAAATGACTAAATAGCAGGAATAACTGAGGACGAGATGATCAGTGATTAATGTAGCCTACAACTTCTGCACAGTTCTCAGATCCCACATCCAGCAGTTCACAACTGCCTGGAACTGCAGCCGCAGGAGGGGAAACAGCTTCTGGCAAACATGTGCCCACACAATACACATAACTAAAAAATAACAAATCACACACACACACACACACACACAATTTTTAAAAACCTTATCACCAAAACAAATTCAGTCCTTTAAAATTCATAGAAATACACAACCCAAGTTCTCCATTCCCACTTCCAGTTTATTATGTTTTATACAAACATAATTACATCCAATGAAAAGAAAGGAGTCTCTCTGCAATAAAATAACAACTACCATTAAGATTGTTTACATGTGGAAATTCAGTAAAAAAAGAGATTCAACTCAAACATTTTCTGTCATAAACAGCTAAAAGTATTTAAAAGTTAATAAAGGCTCTACTTTGTCGTACCTGCATATTTTAACAGATTCTATTTTGCTGATTTCAGAAATATCATGCAAACAGACACTCTCCCAGGAATGTTTTTTTTTTTTTGCTTGTTTACCTTTTCCCTCCAAAACAAGTCTCCTTTAGCTGAGGATAGCCTCAAACTTAGTTATATAATGAAGGCTAGCCATGAATTGATTCTCTTGCCTCTACCTCCCAAGTGCTGGGATTATATACAGGCATGTGCACTTTACCCAACTCCTAGGAATGTTTTGAAATCAATCTGTATATGTAACGAAAATAAATAGTATAAATAACAGCCACTTTATAAAACACCCTCCCCACAAGCAAAAATTTCAAAGTGCTCACAAAAATTTTTACAATCTTACAAGGCACACACCAAACTTAACACACCTTCAATCAAAATGTCCCAAATATTCAATATAGTCGATACTACTTCCTAAAAAAAAAAAAAAAAAAAAAAATCAGCTTTTTTACTATAGTTTACCCTCTCCACCCATCCCTAGCCCTCCCTTCCAAAATTCACTCAGGAAGCAAAATTAGGAGAAGCACTTCAGTCACAAACAATTTCTCAGAGGGAAATACTCTCACAACTATAACTGGTCATTCCTAAGTCATGTGGGAAAGGAAATTAGCCACTATAGTGGTCCATTAACTAATGGAACAAAGTGTTTCCCTTAGAAAAGTTCTGTCTTCAAGAGAGTACTCAAATAGCAGTGTTCATAAAGACATCAATGTCTCCTCTGTTCACATGAGGAATATAAACTTGTAGAAATTTAGACCTAGAAATAATTCTACGAATTATCAAGATCAAAGTTATTTTATATAAAATTAAGAAAAGTTGAAGAAGTGACCTGGTCAATGTCATTAATTAGTGACCCGTGTTATGAAGTCAATTATGAGACCTAGATTCTTTAGTCTCGCCCAGAGCTAAAATTCTATATAGATCATTACTCCCATGAAAGTGTCACAAAAATTATATTTAACACCTATAGGATTTTCACAATTCTTTTATAGTACAAAGTGTATTACATGTTAAAATACCAAACTGTGTCAACAGAACTTAAATACAGCAGAAACGCTACACAGAGCTGAGTTATGTAGAGAAATAGTACGGCTTGAAAGTCAGTGCTTTCTACAGTCAGGAAAAGTGATTTGCCCTGTAGTGAATTTTGCTCTTCATTGTAAGGGCAAAGTTTTGGATTTAGAGGTATTCATATACATGAGATATTAAAACTAATTATAGTAGCTTTTTAAATTTAAACTATTCACCTGGTGACTGCTTGAAAAGAAAATGTATATATAGGCAATTCAACACAGAAAAGGGCCCAGGCATATCCCAGTGTTCAAGAAGTTAAGCAAATTCGAGGTCAACCTGGGCTATACAAATCAAGTCAAAAGTAAAGTAAGAGAGAAGATAAAAAAATAAAAAAGGACTTGTTAATATATACATAAATGAGCTCAAAGGCATTACGTTGTAAAAAAAAAAATCAAAAGGTAACATACTAGAAGATTCCAGTTTTATATTACACCAGATTTTAACAAATTATAGTGATGAAGAACTCTCCCTAGAATTTAGAGTTGGAAGAGTAGATAATAGAGGAGCAGCATAAGGGCACTCTGGAAGTTGTGTCCCAACCGCAAAAAATTATTACATGTGTTAAATTCATAGAAAACTCCTCAGAGAAAGGTCAATTTTAGTGCATGTTAACCAAAGCAAACAAAACAAAAATCCCTAAGTAAACAGTAGGTGTCTTTAATAAAACTGAAATATTTAGAAAAAATAATTTTCCAATCTAAGCCAAGAAAATACTTGCATTGGCCACTGAGTTCTTAATTCAACTATATAATATGTAATCAGGAATAGGGTCTAATTACATATTCTCTTGGATATTTAAATAATGCAATTCTAAGAAAATCTGCTGGTCCCATGTGAATAGAGATTGTGCTCCTTTAAAACAATAATTGGGTGGTCGAGCTATAATCCAAGTACACTAGTTAAACATTAAACACCAAACTGTTAGTCCTGCTTTCAAAATTAATAGTAATGGACAATACTATGCTTTCAAATCTATTTTCTTGTCATTTGAACTTATTAAAGTTACTATATAAATTCAACATTAAATCACTAATCTAAAAACTACACATCAGAATCTGCAGTTCCTGCTGAACAGAGGATTAAAACTAATGTTTGAGACGACTTAGAATACCATAAATTTAATCACTCCATTCACAACTTTGGAACTATTAGAAATTCAGAATGAATAATAGGTAGGAAGAACAAAAACAAAAGCTAAAGATTGGGGTGAGGGGAGAAATATAACACTACCAATGTTGCATCTTTAAAAACTTGCTTTCGTTGAAAGTTCATGATTTGATTTCAATAGATTCTGCCGTTTGAGATCAGGCCTAGATAGTTTTTCACCACTGCTTCTGCCATGAACAGAGGTTAAGTGCTTTTTGAGAGCAGATTTGTGTTTAAAATCCATATCACAACAATGGCATTTATATGGTCGGTCCCCACTGTGTATGTTCAAGTGGTCCTGAAGTGTGCTTTTAGCAGTAAAGGTCTTCAAGCACACAGTACACTGAAAGGGTCGTATACCCATGTGTCCTCGAATATGCCTGTTGAGATTTTTCTTCTGTGTAAATGTTTTCCCACACTGCAAGCACAAGAACAGTTTATGCATCTTAAGGTGACGCAGATAGTTTTCTACATGAAGAAAGCCCCTTGGGCACCTAGGGCATTGATGCCTCAGTGAAAAATTCTCATCTAGATTCTCGATCTCATTTGCTGTACCATGGCTTCCATCAGTATTTTCACAAAATAACCCTTGATTTTGATTTCCGGGAACTTCTGCCACTCTGCTCTCAACTGTAGAATTGATCAATGAATGCTGTGTTTCCGGGAAATACATGCTTGCTTTGGATGACGTACAAGGCTGTGGAAACTGCCCATTCTCTACACTATCTGTACTGATCGATTCTACATGGAGGATACAAATT